GAAATGGTGCTGATTCAATCAGTCTCCTTTCCAGACCGATTATACCCGGTCTCGTTCGATTTATATAATAAATTACCATACAATTTCCCAAAGTAATCAGCTAGCACGGCGCGAACAACGACCGTCTATCGTAGCGATATTTCATGATACGCGACGATGGCCATGAACGAGCGAAAAGATCACGAAGGAGCGAAATTATTTATCGCTGGTTCGATACGATTTTCTTGTCACCGACGAACGATTCGACGAAAGTCGTTTTTCTTTCGAAAGGTTTTCTAACACTCGCAATCGCGTCGCTCTTATATAACGCGATGACCATTGAAATCGAACAGCCGAGCCTGCTATAGTATTGTAAAACGACGATTTAATTGCAACGTTCGTTTGGCGAAGAACGCAACGACGTGTAAATCTTTGGACGATAAAAGAGAAACGAAAAAAGAAAAGAAAGAAAAAGGAAAAGATTGTAAATGTATGAAAAGAGGATCGTAGAGAGGAGAGCGTTATGTGGACGGTTTAACGAGACAACGGAAAGAGTTATTTCTTCCGTAGGGATCAGGACTACAAATTATCCGGCGATTACGTCGTAAATCCCAGGAAACGCGTCTAAAGACGCGAGATCGTTCGATCAACGGCGAAAACACTTGTCTACGCCGTATTAGCATTTAATCAGGGTTTTCTGTTTATAGGTAAACGGCACGAAAGCTCGTTTGAAATAACAGTTATCCGCACGATGCAACCGTGGCTACATGTTACGCGTGCACGTGCGACTACTTTGTGCAATCAGCTATACGTATGTCCAGGTAAAAATTGAAAAATTATCATTCCGGTCTAAACGATCGGTATCTAGTTCGCAATCGGTAGTTGGAACTGCATTATGTCGTGAGCAACATAGATATACACGGTATAGATACACCCGCGTTCAAAAGTACGAGGACATGTAGATCTTTCATCATATTTTATTCCGAAATGCAAATTATCGCTAAAGTGTGTCGCGAAAGTTTGTAGAAATTATTTGCTACAGCTACGTGTGAATTGATAGGAAGGCAAAAGAATAGAGTTCGAAAAATATATCTGAAAATGGGAAATATATCAAAAAAAAAATTGCAGGAGAAAAAGATGAACACATTAACAACTAGAATATCCAAAATTAACATCGTAAAGCAAATGTATCAAACGAAAAGAAAATTCCTAGGTAAAATTTGTATAAAACACGGTGAAATTCATCTGTGTTCGATTTGATAACTTTATACACGCATTTTCCGTAATCAAGAGAATGTCAAGCCTTTGACACGTTACGTGTCGTACGTGTAACGCGTTAAAAAATGATATCACGCGGTTCGTACCTATTTGTTTCCACCCACGCGTTCTGTCGAGCACAATTTCCGATATCGTGATCGATCGCGAGATCGATACATCGCGAACGCGAACCGCTCGTAAAAGTTCGAACGGGGACAAAGTGCATTTTGTTCAACGGTAGAAAGTGCTGCTATCGATCACGTTGCGCACTTTCTTTCTTACGACGATTACGTGTAGAAGTCGGCGGAGTTCAAGGAACGCCATCGTGCATACGTATATAACGACGCCTTCACTTTTCTTTTCGCGAGCTCGACGTACGCACGTGCAAACAACCATACACTATACATATATTAAAGATTATTCGGAAGCTGAGAATATTTCTCATCCTATGCGATAGAGAACCGCGATACAAAATAGAAAAGAGGAAAGGATGATTATTCGAAGAAGCATGTAAAGATTGCGATCTTTGTTACGAGCCAGACCGTCAAAGAATGGAGGAGGGAAAAGCGGTTGTGAATCAAAGGTTGCTGCTTTATATATATAGCAATTCATCGTTAACCGGCCATAAACCGAGCGTAAACGAGGTACAAATACGTAATAACGCATTTATTTACGTTAGATAGATAACACTAGGGCAAAATTCATTAATAACGTTCTTTAATTGTACAAGGGAACCAAAGACTTACTCTACAAAGTCGGTTCCAAGAAGTAAAGAGGATAACAATGTCCCATTAACGAAACAAAATTCCAGCCATTTATCGCTACACCGTCATATCTTACTTCCTACAGCCTGTAGGCTCTATTAATCGGAATGTTGTAAATACACGATCGAACCAGAGTCCAAACATTCGTTAATTCTTCCGGAAATAATTAAGCGTATCGTATATGTCGTATATATTAAATTCTGTAATAAACGTTACTCGCCGACTGTATATTGTAGCAACAAAAGTTATCGAAAGGGTATGTACAATTTACACACAAAGAGAAAGAGGCAAGAGCAAACGTGTACGAACACGCGAGAGAATGACGTGCAACGTTTCTATAGACCGCTTAAATACCGAAGGTAACGCCTTTTACTCCTGTATAGAATGTACGCCACCTTGTAGTTGGTGCATGGTGTACGTGTTGGTACATTAATCGTTCAAACCCTAAGCTACACGGAGAGTTTCGATTTCTACCACGGAATCCGCGTTGCTCGAATATAGGTTCGAGCTTTTCCACGATGTTACGGCGGAGATACGCGACACAGTTCGAAACAATCGGGTCTCAACGCGATACAGTCGAATCGATCCGATCGTTCACGAACTCTTCGCTAAAATATCGCACCGAATGGATCGACGCGTGTGACTCGCAAGCCAAATACCAACAACCAACGTATATTCAACTTCGAATTCGTAATCGCGAAGCTAAAACGACGAGATCGTTTTATTTCGAATAAGAGAAAAAAAATGTGCTTTTTCGTTCCTCGTGCCACCGATGGGAGAAATCTATTTTATGCTTTCTTCTCTTATAACGGTTAAACTATGATTAATCGAGTTGTCCGGAATCCATATTGATCAACTTCATAAATTGAAAATAACAAAAAGATGGCGACGTTACGAACACTGTTCTTAAAAGTTCCATTATAGAATTTATCGTTTTTGTCTGTACCATCTTCTTACGACAGAGAAACTTATAAAAATAAATCATTTATTTTTTGAGAATTGAAAATTAATCGCGTAACCAATAAGCACGAGGAATTTGCGAAAAGTAGAGTTGATCGATTTGACGTTTAATAAACTCAGCTGCAACTTCTTGCACACTAGCGAGAGCTTCCATTTTTAACGGTAAATAAATAAATAGATTAAAATAGAATTTACTCACGGTGAGGTGTGTCTTGTCAGGCGCGATCGCCGTGATCTCGACTGGCCTTGGTTCAGGTGGATTCGCTTTGCTAAGAATGGCAGCTGGCATTTTCGCGACCAGAGATAGCCTCCTGGTGAGCCGTCTACCTAATTCCGCGCGTCGTCGCACCCTAACACGGGGACCGGTACCTTTGTAGCCTCCGAATTCCATCCTGAGAGACGTGTATCCTCCTTCCTTATCCCCGTGTTCTCATGGAGGCAAACGGTCGCATCTCGTGTGTCACGTGGCCGCACAGATTACACGATCATAATTCGAAGAAAGTCTATCTGCGAGTCGTCAAAACTCTTTACTACAGTATACGATCGAGAACTGCGTTTACAATACGTAGGAATCTTTCGATCGTCCATGTCCCTGGACTGAAACTTTCGTTTACCGTGTCTCCTCCCAGCGTCAACAAACGCATCCTTCGCGAATCATAAACACTAACGAGTCAATCCACCGTTTGCCTGTTTATTTTCAAAGATATCTTGCACGCGCGTCGTCCATGTGAAATCGTCAACACGAACGCTCGTTCTGTTCGAACAGTTGTTGTTAACGGATTTTGCGGATTCGATTTGATCGACTACGACTTTCAATTCGATTCGACTCGATTCGATATGATTCGATCGAAGCCAAAGATCACTCCCGGCAGTCTCGTCGCTCCTCCAAATGAACCTGGGTCGTTGACGTATCGGTTTTTTCGAACGCGTTCAAAAACGCACAAGGGTTATACTGGTTTTAGACCAACGGTTGTCCGCAGTGGATTACACGCACGACGTAAACACTTGCTCGGATGCTGGAGGGCCGCTCTCGGTCGCGTGCACACACACCTTTACGTTTACAACCCAACATCTCTCATACTGACTACGTACACACATGCATCCTAGGCTCACATACGTATATACACCGTGGTGGAACGAGACGAAGAGAGACACAGTATGGTGCGCGCGTGCACCAGGAGATTCGATGGTATTCGAAAAGCAAAGCACGAGGTGTGGAAAAGAGAGCAGCCGGTTCTTGCTGGCGCTCGGTCTGCCTGGCGCGCTTCGACTGAAATTGAATCGCAGCAACCTCCTACCACGCGGCCCGTCACACTGCCGGCCTTCCTAACCGTCGTGCCTTCTCGTCACTCTCGTCGTGTCTTCGCTTCTACCCTACTGAACAAATCCGCGTAAACAAAACGCATTTCAAAACCAGTAACCCGCGCGCACGCTCCACGATCAAACACTGATGTAACCGATGCGCGCGCGATCAATCTCAACCAATCTAACTAACCGTTAGACCAATCAAAGCTACCATATTAGAGGCACTCCACCAATTACAGGGCATTGTTTATCAGCCAATCGACGATGTCGTTGTTTTGCATTTTCAAATTCCTTTTCTATATTATTCTTATATCGAAGTTTTCTAATCGATAGAAACGTAAAGAATTGAGATTCTTATTATCGATTAGTACATTGAAATGGAATAACGGATTATTGGATTAAAATCAAATGATTATGGAAATTAATATTGTTATGAATATAATTGAAGAGATATAGTCTAAATGAAGATTTACTATATGTTTTAGACATTATAATCAATTTAACTTTTGTAAGTTAAATAAGATGATCAGATAACGCGTAGTTTGTAAAATATGTGTACATTATTATCGAACTTGTTATTGTCATACTAGAGAAATACTACTAAAATACTGTACCTCCATTTAAATGTTTTGTACATAATTGCATATTTGATATCCGTAGATATTCGATTGTATGAGTTTTGATACATATGAAAGATAATTTTGTTTTAACGAATTCCCAAATTCCAGACGACATATTTTCTCTTAATTAGTTTATCGTATCTACGATACGATACGAGCAATGAAATTTTCGAAAGTCAGTAATTCTTGAAGGTCGATGTAACGATCGATAATGCGCATATCGATTACGAAACTCGTACCCTGTAATATTTATGAAGCGATCGATCAACACGCTCGAGGGCAAATCGAATTCGATGATCTGTAGAAATTGACGTATGTCTGTAATAGGACGTAGGACTGAAGAATAATTTTCGAATACACCATGTGCCATTGCTATTGTGACGTACTTGGATGCTCAATGATATTAAAGATTGGAATACTCGGCGATGTTCACGATTGTCATTGACGAGAGAAATCAAAGAAAAGCAATCGATTACAATTGGCACGATTAGAGCGTATTTACGCTTGTTGTGATCGTAGTAGCTCGAACGATGCACAGTCGCCATTGCTATATATTCTTGTTCGTGGTAAATAAATTCTTTAGCCTATAAATAACAAAAGCCTATAAGGAAGCTCATTTCTGTGTAAGTCTAGTCGTGCCAATCGTTCTAACGCGTTACGTAATAGGCTGATTCGCAATTAACTAAATATTTAAACCCCCGGTATATTATCGTCTCTTTAAATGTATAAATTATACGCTAGCGTGCAATGAATTCAATCTAAAACAAAGATCACGCATAGTAACGATGATTTCTGTGTCTCTGGCGCTAGAAGAAGTAATTCCCAGGACGAAGTATAAAAATAAGAAGTATCGTTATCTCAATTAATCTTATTATTAGAATTCCAAGCCTAATTGGTCGAAAGTCAGGGGAAATCTCAGGAACGACTAAATAGAAGAATTATCCAATATGAAGTGAAGCGCGTTTACATTCACGTTTCTGCACAATCGAGCAAAGCGGAAGGAAAGCAGGACCGTTTCATCCTTGACTTTTCTCTCGCATCCCTACCACCAATTTATCCGACGTACAAAATTTCTCGACTACCACGAAAATCATAAGCGCGACGACCATGAAATCCAATGCAACGCTGCAAGACAAGCTTGCTAAGCAGAACGAGATTAGCCGTCAAAGGTTGGCGCAAGAAGTTGCGAAACTTGAGAAGGTGGAGAAGTCGGATTTGAGGATGTTAGAGACTGCGAGGCATCGGTTTCGATCGCGTCACAAGAACCTGGAAACACGGCAGCCCTCCTTTGGATCGAACGTAAGATCTCTCGGAAAATGCGTATATAAACGCTTACCAAGGATGCGCACGGTTTTCTTTTCGTTTCTAATAGATAATTTTATGTTACACTGTCTCTAGAGCTGACGAAAGTATTCGTTTCAGATTTCATCATGATAATTGTATCATGTAAATCACATATTCAGAATATATTTCTGAACGTGCAAGTGTTCGAATACCTTCGTGAGTCTATACAGTGCTTGAAATAACGTTAATTGCAGGATTTCGATCGCAACGTTTCACGACTCGACTAGAGATTAGATTTCTCTAGATCAAAGATCGGCACCGTGTATTCTGACAATTACGCGACACGTACGATCGGCGGATACGCGGTTCATCGTTTGATCTTCCGATCTAATTGCGAGCACAGTAATTGACGCGCAGGCTATTAATGTGCGCATGTACGAAACTCATAATCCCGGCTTTTGCTACCATTGCACGGGCGCCATAAAAAAAGGTGGCCAGACGATAGAACAGGAGCAGGCGTCGAAAGATTCCTACGAGTTCGTGCGTTCGATAGTATTCACCAGAGGCGAGGTAGATCCTGATAAAATTCTTTGTCTCCATCTACTGTCCGCTCACAGTACGAAATGGAAAGGCAACGACGACACCACCATCAGACCCGTTACACCTTTAATGGAAAAAGGTATAATTTTCTACGAATGAGATCAAAAAACGCTTATTCGATAATTCTGTGAATTTCTATCCTTAAAGCTAAGAACAAGCATTTATGAATCTTACCTACTTATCTATTTGTGAATCTTTGAAGCTAAGAACAAACACTTTTCTGGCGCATGGAACAACGTCATACCCTGTTACGTGGTGGACACTCAGGTAATCTCATCAGACACGAAGCTCCATGAAGATCCACGGAAGAAGATTTTGGATGATCAAGCGATTTACGAGTTCGAGGAGAAATATAAGCAATATATGAAGAACGACGCTGATTTTGAGAGAGCTTTGTCGTCCAATGCTAAACACACGCAGAGGATAATGTTACAGGGGATTGATAAGATGCCCGCGATTTCACCTCACGTCTACTCTTTACTTGGAGCCTCGCATGAGCTGCGGATTAAACAAGCTCTAGCCGAAGGTATAGTCAGGAGAAGACACGCTGGACCTAATACAGAATTGAACAAATTGGATGAGAATAGTTTGTCTTTTCGTCTCGATGACGATGACGATCTTTCCAGTAGAACAACCACGAACTTATCGACTAGAAATTGGATTGCGAAATCGTATAGTCCCTCGAGAAGGTCTACAATTGGATCCACGTTTAAAATCAATCGTGAAATTACCATGTTAAAGCCGAGACGGAGAAAGAATCACGATGCCATGCCTAAAGATCTTATTGCTATAAAATCTAGTACCAGAGCGATGAAAGAAGCATCTTCGAAAACTTCTAGCACCAAATCTCCTTTTCACAGCATGTTTGGCAGTCGACAATCCGCGAATTCTCTCGTCTCGGCCACATTAAATCCAGAGATGACAATTAAAAAATATAGAAAATGTATTTATCTGAACGCACCTGTTAAATGCATCGAACTTAGAAACAAGGAATATCAAATCGTACCGATTCTTGTGAATTATCAGCTGCAAGCGTTGGTGCAGACGGTGTTTGGTGTTCTTGAACGTGTGAATCCTGAAAAATCAAAGAAAATAATCGATACTGCGAGAGATATGGGAGAGATAAATAAGATGTTATCACGTCCAGAAATACAAAATTTTATACAATATCTGTTGGGTCAATCGTTGGTCTCGTCCCCAGAAAGTTTCGTAGTTTCAGTAGCGACAATGGCGAATGAGATAGATCTTCGATTCGAGGGAATTCTAGAAAAGGAGATAATCGCGTTGACTCTAGAAATGCCGTCACTTCCATCTCTGGATGCTCTGATTACCGAGATACGAAATAACATTTTTCTCGATAATACAAGAAAGAAATCCGAACCAAGTAGAAATACCGGTACGACATCTTCGAATCCAAATAGAGGAAAAATTGGAAAGAAAAGAGGTGCGAACATAACAAAGCTGAAAAATTATCCCAACTGGAATAAGAGTAAAGATTGCAGCAAAGATGCGTTCGCACATAACAAGTCGAAAGAAGATAATGTTATGCAACTCTCGGAGACAAAGTGTGGAAACAGCCTGAGGAAAACATCGAAGATAAAAGCGGCCGACCAACCGAGAGTTTCAGGAAATGTTCTCGCCAAACGTACTTCGAATTCCAAAGTAAGGTCTCCGTAGAGAAAAAGGGCAAAGAGAGAAAAAATGATTGCAACGGCATTTCGAACTCTGAAATATTCAAAAGGAAGAGATCTGATAACAAATATTTTTCCTATTCCATGTGGTTGCAGTCTTGGAAGAGTGCCCAGGATCTCGGCCATTTAGACGCAAATCATGTAATATTGCGAAGAATGACGAACACTCAGAGAATCTTAGTAGGACAGATGTGTGCCTCTCTCAAGACCAAGAGAATTAATAATCAAGGTCTTATCCGGTTTAAATTAATATCGTAGAACTTGTGATATCTATAATTTATTTCTCGATTTTTATGTAGGTCTAATTGATGAGAGCGTACCTCTTGCTGCGCTAATTGCTCCGGTCCTTTCGCGCAATAGCATTAAAGTCTTGACACAAGGTACGGTATTTTCAAACTGGAATACCACAGATGAAGAAGAAATAGAGGATAACGTTGTAGTTCCGGATAAGTTGACTGGCCCTTTGCTTGCAGAGGTTAGTATTTAAATATATTCCTTTATATATATATAAAAAAAATAATAATAATATCGAAAAATGATAAATTATTAAGTTTATTTTTTTCAGATACGACAAAATGTAGGAGAGAATGAAACAAAACGACGTTTGGAAAGTTTTCTAAAAAATGAAATCGTATAAACTAAATAAATCAAATTAATCATTTTATTCGCTCACATACATTTTGTATCAAAAAATTGCGAATATTTACCGATTGTTAATAGAATTCGTACTTGTTTACGAATATAGCAAGTAGATGGCACAAAAGTTGTTCGTGCAGTTCGTTGGCGACATAAATTTAAAATTACAAATAAACGGAAAATGTGGGATACGCTTCTTTTTAATTCATTAAACTTGTGTAAAGTATAAAGCAAACTTTTCTATTATAAATAAAATGATAAAATTGTCGTGAACTATAACATTTTGTGGGAAGTGCTGTAAGAGCCATATAAGGTCAGCACTGGAACTTAATACCTACTTATCTGAGATTTCAATAAATAATTTGTACGCTAAATAGGATTTATGAAATATGTAGTTCAATTTTATATAGTATTTCACTGTTTGCATAAAATGAGACTAATTTCCACAATAAGCTGTTAGCTGAATACGATTGAATATAATCAGTCAGCTGATCAGCTCCGCGCAGTCGCAGTTGTATTACTGCATAGGCGTAAAAGAACAAGTTTGCTGTTTTAAATGAAGCATAAGTTTACAGCTGTATGTGCACAGTTAAAAAAAGGTGGTTTAAAAGTGAAATATAAAAATTGTATTAGAGTAGAATATTCGATATCTGTTGACTAAACGATCGTTCAGAAAACCAGCGGAGAATTTTATTGCGTTACGCCATGTTCACCGATGTGAGAAAAGTACACCAGATGTATTGCAGAGTTCGTGCAAAATGTCTATGTTAAAAATTTCTTATGAACATCGAAACATTGCTCACATGTTTATTCAAAGTAGCACGACGTTTATTTTAACATATAAACCTCAACGCGACAAGTAATTCGTTTAGATAGACAGGGAACGATATGTATAAATGTTACACATGGTTCTTTTTAAACATCTTTTTTTGGATTCTGTAGAAAACCTGTGACGAGAACAACTCGTACTTTTAACTACTTTTTGGGGAATTAATATCAGTTTGTCAATTAATTGACAAACATGTATACATTTAAACCATTTGTGTTCGTAAAGCACGAAGCACAGAGTATAGAACGTCCAAAAGCTAGAAGTGGACATAGAATAGTCTGTGATCATAAGAATTTATATTCTTATGGAGGGTTTAATCCCTGTATCCCTGATACTGATCCTGATATGCAAAATGATCAGACATGGATCTCTAGTAAACCACTTTTCAAAGAAGTCTGGAAGTTCAATCTTGTTACACAACAATGGAAACGCTTACCAGGTCAAAATAATATGCCCAATGAGTTGGCATCGAATGCAGTGATTTTAAGGGGCAATGCCTTGATGGTTTATGGTGGAACTGGTGTACCATTTGGTCATAGTTGTAGCAATCATCTGTATGTGTGTAATGTTAATAATGGTAGAATGTACATAGTTCCTGCAAAAGGAGATCTACCTGAACCCCAATATGGACAAGCTTTAATATGTCATGGGTCATATTTATATACTGTCGGTGGTACTACAGGATACGAATATACTTGTGATATTCATAGATTTGATCTTAGCGCTGGTATTTGGGAGACTGTTTATATATGTTCTGGAAGAGATCAGAGTGAACCTACAGGACGATATAGACACGAATTAGCTTTTGATGGGAAACTTATATATGTTTTGGGAGGAGGAACAGCTACAGAAGCATTTGGTTTTTCGGTATGTAAATTTTAATATAATCGTCCAAAATAAGTTTTAAATACTTGCATTAAAATTTTTTAAATACAAATTACGTTTAGGAAATCCCTGCTTTTGACCTAGAAACAAGTAAATGGATAATATTAAACACATATGGTGACAACGATGATAATACAGTGCCAGAACCTAGACGTTGTCATGGATCTGTGCAATATACAAATGAAAAAACAGGTGTCACATCAGTAGTAATCTCTGGAGGATATAATGGAGATCATGTCTTCTCTGATGTTTGGAGATTAGATTTAAATCTGTTACAATGGACATGTTTAAGGAAATGTATACTTCCATGTCCTGTGTATTTTCATTCTGCAGCTCTTACTCCGGAAGGACGCATGTATACATTTGGTGGTATCGTTAAGGAAAATAATAAGGTTGTTATAGCTTTCTTATCTTTTTACTTTAATATATACAGTTTCCTACATTTTCGTGAAAAATCTTATTGCAGGTTGTAAGGACAGATGCAGTTCATTCTGTTTGGTTAACAATTCCTAAATTATCAGAAATATGTTGGCAAGCATTAATTCATTACTATCCAGACTTAAGGCACAAGTCACAGGATGAATTGCTTCACATGGGTATACCCCTAAAATTTGTGCAAAGAATTGATTGGTATGATGCATAATATTTAAGAAACTCTTTTGATATTTGCTACACATTCAAAGCGTTACCACTCCGACCATTGTTACCAGTTACTTATTGCATGAATATTGTAATTGTTGATCATTATTGCCATAATTTATTTACGATATTTTTATAAAAAAAGGTACATAGTGTGTTGGGCAATTAATACGACAGATATTATCAATGGATCACTTTCTTCAAATTTACTTATATCGTGCAATATTTTACGTATTGAATGAAATTATGCATTATGCATACTAAAAATAGAAGAAAAGTTCTTATAAACATATATTCAGAAATGAATACTAATGTCAAAAGAATTTCAAAATATGTAGCTGTTTAAAACGTATTAGATTGAAATATACTAGAACTAAATCAAATTCTATTTCTGGAAAGAAGCATTTCAGGAAATATGTTTATATAAATTCTTTTTCTTGTTATGACAAATAGAATCTGCACTCTAAAGTTTTATCTTTATCAAATGCTTTAATACGCTTGATATAATGAAAGATATATATAATACTTTTAAAATCTTTTTGTTCCTTCCAAATCTTATTCAGTTGTGATTATAAGAATTCTAAGTTTGTGGATCTAGAAATTGTAAGTACAATTTTTTATACAAAGCTTTATTTATGGAAACAATTGCAGAATCATACTTTCGAATCATGTTTCTAAATTATTTTTTATAGTATACATCTTATTTTATTATTATTTACCTCGTCGAATTGAATTATTCTTTTTCTGTTTTTTACTTGAACTTTTAATAAAGCAGGTTCTCATAGCGAACAAAGAATTGTATTGCATGCTATACAAGGTTGCTGGTAAATATGCTCATTAATTTAGTTGTTATATAACATTCACAGCAGATATGCCTATAATACAGCATATAAATTTTCATCTCGAACTATGCATACACACACCTTGTTAAAAAACTATGCTGTTTTTTCTTTATTTGCACTATAAAACGCCTGTCAATAAAATTCACTACATCATTGTATGTATATATAAATATATATATAAGCAATAATTCATATAATATACGTATATCTTGAAGTGAAAAGGGAAGAATAAGGACATGTAAACAAAGACATCGAAAAAATGTTATCTCACTTTAGCTACGATAGTTATTCAGTTCAATATGTCGAAAAATAAATTTATGTAATACCACAATAGTACCGTAATATATTAATATAATTGTCGTTTGTCACATATTATTTAGTAGATAAAATTTTCCTTCTGTTTATAATAAACGATTATTGTTTTGCAGAGATAAATTATATGAATTAATGTAATCTACAACGGTTAGAAGCAAATTTTATACATTCACATACAGATCAACAGTACAAATAATACACAAATCTTTAGGCAATATAAGTTTACTCTTTCAGATAACACAGTTTTATTTAGTTCGGCGAAGAAACGATTCCTAAATCTAATTTTTATACGACATAATCGAAATAATTTTATTCACTACTTCTATTCAGGGAAATTGAATAGCAGAAAGTGCTCCATTGCAAACGACAGCCTTTTTACAATGATATTATTGATAAGAATATTAATTACACAATATCTATTTATTATCTGTATCATATTACAGATTATTATTTTTTTAATAAATATATGCTGGCCTGCGGATATGAATAACAGATTAACAGAAATCAGTAACGATATAACTTATACTTTTTAGTAATATCTTAGTAACATTGCAAGCTAAGTTTCAACATTATGAATGGCAGTTGAATTCAAAGTCTAATACCAAAATTCTCATTGTATTGATTCTCATTTATGCGTTAAGTAAATTATACTTGGACTATGAAATCTGCATAGAAACGAAGTATCTTAACAATTTCGAAGAGATGTTAGTGATCGAATATCATCGAACATTTAAGATAAAGAAACGAGAAAATTTCTTTAGCAAATTGAAATGACTTTATACAGAAGATTCTTCACTTCCAATAAAAAAAAAAACTAAAATATTGCTTCTCTTTCGGCAGAAAACAATACCATATAGGATGTTGCCTTTCTCTGCATTTGCAGTTTCTCTGAAGCAGAACTCCATATCAAACAGACGATGTATTTGCGTACCAATTTCGGAGTACAAAATAGCTTAAAAGTTACTTTAAGTACGCAGTGCAGAATGCATCTAATTATTATTAGTAGGCATGACTATTGAAAGAGAACTCGGGGAACAAATGATGGTAAAGAGAAGGATAAATTTCGCGTGAATTTGTATGAAACGCAAAGTAACTCTTGCCTTAAAATTAGATAAGCTAAATGCATTCATATTTGTATGCGATACGTCAATAATTACAATACAGTAAAAAAAAATTCTTATTGACCTTCCATATGAGTGGATCGTATCGGCATGCGAAAAATCACACGAATTATATTTAAGTAGACACAAAGTTGTTTCTCTTCTTATATTGTTCAATTCTCGGTGCTATTTATCTAAATTTAAGGAGACGCGCGCCATAGGCGAACGTATTAGCAAAGATAGATTGTAAATAGGAAATTGAATACAGTCAAGCTGATACCCTTAATCCTGTTTATTTCTCTTCACACACCCTTTATATTATAACTAATGTACTGAAAATGCTTACGAATTTTACGATCAAAAAGTTTGTGTAAAAAGAATCTTTTCCCTATAATATGAAATTGTAAATGTTGTAATTACATATGTAACAGGTGGTTGACAATGCGCAAGTGTATCTGGAAAAGCAATGTAACAAAACACTTTGTAAAAATTATATCGTTATAAACATCGCATATAGTTGAAATATCATACTCTACGACTTCATATTAAACGAAATTACCAAACGAAGTAAGGGTTTTCAGACAGCTGTGCAAAGACTACATTGAAATCTAAATTGGTACATTAACGAAGCAATTAAGATCTCATTTGACGGTCTGGATGTTAATTCCACTTGTTGCCTTTATCTTATTAATAATGACAGTGAAAGTATCTTATAGTACGCGTGTTTGTTTTCGTGCCTTTAAATGCGTGTACACGCGTTCACGATGATCGCAAAACGTCAACGATAAGATATATACTACTTAAGTATTATTACGTCTGCTCATAGAATATCGATAGACTGACAACATTTCTTAATATCTCAATTGTTCTATTAATGATATGAACAGACGCGAGAAGATAAAAAAAAAAGAATTCAAAATTATTATGTCGATGAGATCAAATACGTAAGACTATATTTCTAAATATTAGAGTTAAACTAGCTAGATATATAAATTAATGTTTGTATCTTTTGGTTGTATTCGAACTAACAAAAATACGCAATACCCATCGAAGCGAAAATAAAATATATTTTACAGACGTACATTGTGATTGATTTATTAAATGGCGTATTGCCAAGGAAGATATTGTAAATTAATTTCGTTACGAAAACAAGTGGAAAATTTTATTGTACGCTTAAAAAAGGGTCGTTGTAATTTATAGCCATTGTACAGGTAACGATCGATGGAAAGATAAAGAGATGCTATATGAACTGCTTCTACCATTTCTTTCTATTACATTACCGAAATTAAATTTAGCGCGCAAAATCCTTTAAAAAGGCATTACATACAGTTCCGGAGAAAATGATAACACATGTGTGCTATCCTTAATTTCTCGAAGACAATTTAAGACTTTTTTAAATGTAGCGAATATTCATATGTATCAGAGACTCATATGTATCACAGCACCAAAGTGGAAATATAGTACATAATAAAAAAGGAGTCTGTTATTAAATAAAGTTGTTATTACCAACATTCAGTATATGTGGAGAAAATGATAGCAAATTAAGAAAATCTATACGTATATTTAGCCTAACAAGAAAACTGACATCATAATTAATATAAAATTAATAATGACTATAAACGCTTTTGTTCTCTATAATTTTGACCAACCATGATAAGAATTTGTATAGTTTTTGGATGGTATTCTAGAATAAATTATCCCATTTTACTTTAGTAGATTCTTTTAATTGTAAAATATTATCATATTGACTTCTATTCTTGCATACAGCACGTATGAGTTTTCTTCGATAATTTTCAATTATATATATGTATATAAACTAAGGAACGTGCAAACCATGGCGAAGATCATGTCGTATTTTCTCGTAGAGAATGTTTCTACAACTTTAGTTTGATGAACGGCAGCATAGCTACACTGAAAAATAAATTTCCTTTGGTAATTCGTTGAATACGTTAAGATTAAATTTATATGTTTTTGAACATTTATTTTCCCTTCAACGAATCATAAATCCGTTTTGCCTTTATACCCAATTCCGACTTAGAACATCATCACCACTATCTCCATTTGTCATCGCTTTTTCACCATTTTTTCTTTTCGTCGATCATGATAATAAAACGAAGATTCATCTAGATCGTCCATAACAAACATTTTTTCATCAGTAAATAAAATACTTCTCCATTACGCCTTTCAGTGAATACGTTCTTTTGTGAATGTTAATCGCTGTCCTTGACATAAAGGTTTTATTAACGCAGGCACTTGCTTCGTTTTCAATAATTAAATAAATTTACACTTCTGAAGAACACAGCGAACACTCTGAACGTTTGCAGAGATACCTGGTACGTGAGCAATTTTGCCAGATGTTAACATCGAGTTTGAGGCAACACGTATAGTAGCCTATTTTGTTGCCCTCTCAGAAGATAACACACATATGCTATAATTTTGTCCGGGAATGTATTACGTTCTTTGAAGGTGTTAAAAATTGCATCTTCTATAAGCATAACTGACGTACTTAAATGTAGTCAACGAATACGGCTCGATCACGTAAATTATTCGATATCAAAATTTCAAAAATCTTCCTCAATTTTTTTTTCTTATATTGATTAGGAAAGAAGGAAAACAATTTTGACGGAAGCATTTTTACGAAATACGAAATTTTAAGTTAACATTCATTGGTGATCGGCTGATCGAGCAAGGCGACAAACGTGCAGTGTTATTCGGGTAGTTTCGTGAGCAGCGGTCGTAGATTCGTACGTTTCCGTGTCGCGCATGACTGTAACGCAGAGGGAATAGCATAACCCGATTAACCAAACTCGTGAATCGCTTCATTTTAAGGCGGACGTCTGCTTCCTCGAGTAGCAGTTTGCTATCTTTCTGCGTCGAGATATCATCACTTTATTCCCATGTCTCCAACGTATTTAACTTCGAGATATATCGAAATATACGGTGAAGTTTTCATGTAGTATTCGTTGTAACCGTAGACACCGTTCACGTGCCAGACGAAGATCCGTCCATCGACGTCGACTCGAAACACCTCGTGGACTTGATCAGCGAAAAAAACCTCTAAAAATATTCATTGAAACATGGAACAAAAACGTCTGTATAAAGTGGTGCTCACTGGAGGTAAGCGGCTTTTTTCTTTAGAGCAAACAATTCATTGTCATGCATTCCGTGCGTCGTAATTTCGTTTCGAAAACATTCGTTCGTTTGAATAGATACTTTCATATATTTTCAAACGAATAATATATTTATCTCGACAAAGATATCTACGAAAAAGGCGAGCTGTGCGTGTCTGCGGAAACCACGTGTTTCGACTACCTTATAATCCTTTCGTTGATTCTATAGTTTTTACTTATAGAAATTTATTTCTGAACTTTTATTACGTACAAACAAACGCAAAGTGGTTCGTTTCCATTGTTTCGTTGCTGTGACAATCACGTTTCACGTAGAATGCTTTGCGAGTTTATCCGTGGTGTGAAAATATTGATTGAATTCCTATGGTATACGAAGGAAATTGCATTATTTCGAATCGAATTTGCGTGCTTTGAAAGTCATCCCCTTTTTTGTAGTCCGTACAAACTTAATCGCAAGGACAGCTATACAAACCCAGTTTGAAATTTCCTGCTGTTTCACGAATATCTTAAAACACACATTTTATAACTTGAAATTGATTTTAGAATAGACAAAGCAAATGAAATAAAATAACCCGAAATATTGTATTTAATAGAATACGGCTATTACTTCAAAAACGTTGACAAAACAAACTTGATCCGGCTATATTTAATTCGTCGAAAACATATATCTCGAATTATTTACATAGCATTGGAGCAATATATGATGCATAAAAACTTATTTTCCCGTTTGTGCTATGTACTTCTACATTTGTAAATAAAATACAAGATCGAATTACGACTTCTATAAAAATCCACATATATATACATTGACTATACAGGGTGTTCAGAAAAAACCATTCCATATTTCGCGACTCTGTCAAGAAGAAGATGCCAAGCGTGTAATGGAAGAAAAAAACGTGGAACATTTTCTGTAAATGTCGGAAAGTCAGTAGTAAGTCAATTATAATGCTAGATAGAAAATCTTTATATCTTAGAAATGGTTGAATTTTCGACGTACGTTTACCAAAGTTTTTTACTAAGTATGGTGTGTCTTATATACCATATGCATATTGAATGGTTTTTCAAACACATTGTACATTATATGTATATATACATCAGCAACTTACTCTTTATTTTTCCTTTTTATGTAACTTAAAACAAGGACTAATTGAACAGAGAAAACTCGATGTCAGAAATAGAGCGACTATTCTAGAATTATTAGCCTTCGTAAATAAAAGATCACGATGATCAATGATCGGCTCCTTCATCTGGTTCGATAGTCTTGAATCAAACGTTTTGCGCTAGTATATAAACACGATTAGTCTTTACAATTGTTTGTAATTGTAAACGACATTTTCTTATATCCACGATGTCAGCCGTCGATGAGTGTTCAGCGTGCAATTATTTTATCAGGAATTACACGAATGTTATACACAGTAGCAATAAAAGATATGTTTCTACGAGATAACATTTTTATGAATAAATCATAATCAACGATTATCGATTTACTCGAGCACATAATCGTAATTTTACATTTACGTCCATAATAAAACACTTCGATATATCGTTACACGTACAATTTTGGATATTTCCCATATTTTAAAGTAAATTAAATATTCGTAGAATTCATTCAATGACCAGTGTGTTACCCGCACATTTTCGAACTTTTTTACCGACAGCGTTTGGCCAATGAACACAAATCCAAAGAACAGACATCAAACATTCTTATGTATCGCGTTATGATGTCATCATCAGTCATATTTATCGTATTAGTGACAATTTGAACCAATTACGAGTCAATGAGCGCACGGCTAGCCAATTGCACGCGGAGTATTCGTCGATTGCATGCACTTGAGGTGCATTAATGTATCTCGAATGCATCATATCTCATATCTCGGGAAGCGTCTTTTAATCTCCGCGGATCGTTTCATTCGCCAACACTGCTCGGAGCAACAGCGATAAATATGCTCAAACATACGGAAAGTCGGTGTCATAAAATAGACGAATCTTAATGTTGAATTTATCGCGTGTCTAATAAATAACGAAATGCTATGTGCTTTCCTAAACGCAATAATAACTCGAAATAGTAAATTTTATTTATTTCAAATAAATAGTTTTCTTATCTAAAATACTTGACTTTTTAGACCTAATCTGTCACGCTATTCAATTGATGATAAAATCACGCAGGGTCTTTTTATATAGATCGAAATTGTATGTCGCAAAGTCACGAAAAATGCAAATTAAAAATATTGCTAAAAGCTGGTCTGACCTTGAGAGATCAACAAAGGAGGAAGAACAAAAAGGAAAAGATTGAGTGAAAAGAAATGACAGGACCGTCTATTCAAAATTAATTATCTTTATTATATAGAAATAAGTTATAATAAATTGATGATGGATAGTAAACAAGAAAAATTAACGATAATACTGATGAAATCATAATAATGGGTAATTACAGATCACATTCATGATAATTTTGTCAGAAGATTTAAAAAAGTGATTGAAGCAATAATAATTTTCATAACAACTGTAACGAGCGAATACTATTTCTCTCATACCATGACCAACGAGACAATCTAAAATAAATATTTATAATCTGGCAACATCTTAAAACACAACGCGGCTAGTGTTTCAAAGATAACATTGTCTCGTTTGACTTCATAGTAGTTTTAAAGCATGTAAAGGTACATAATCATGTTCTTGTATCTTTCAGCTGAAAATTGATAGCGAATCTAAGATTGGAGTTTTACTATCGTATTGTTAGATTATGCTAAATACCATTATGTATGATCTGTCGACTAGTCCGATGCAGGAGTTTTCATTCTCATTCTCACATTCTTGTTTTCATTTCATACACGCGGTCAGCATTATGGATGACACACAAGCGACATCAGCCTCTAATATCACTGCGAAGATTGATCGACAGATCACACATATCAATGCGGTATGTATTATGATCAAAGCAAGCGATAGTACTAATCCCATTTTGGAGGAGTAATTAGTCACACTTATGATTTCACTGGTATTATCATTCATTTTTCCTAATTTATGTCATTAATTTATTATAATTGTTCGTAATAAAAGTAATTTTATCTTCGAGCAGGCAGTTTTTCTTCTTTCCTTCCTTCCGCATTTGTTCGTCTCTCAAAGTCGGGCCAACTTTTGGTAACATTTTTAATTTTCATTTTCGTGACCTTTGCGACATATTACTTTAAAGTGAGCGAATAAAATAGAATTTTCTTTAGAATAGTGTTCCAAGTACGATAGTTTAATCTAAGAAGGTAGAAGTTTTGTGCTTTAAATCCTACTTTTTCCATTTATTTTTATCGATATGCCGTTATCTATCGAAATGAAAATGGTTAATATCGCATAATTTCTTTAATGTCGTTCGTCTGATCTTCGTCTTACGAATAATAACGAGACGCAAGAGTAGCCGAGATCGGGATTCTCGGCCGAGAGATAAAGAAACCAGCGAGATAGCTAAAGAATTTTTCCCCTTTTGTGTTTCAGGACCTTGTGGTGGTAAAACAACCGGACAGGCACGGCTATGCACGTTCTTCGAGAACATGGGCTGGAAGGTAGGCATGTTTCGCTCTGTTTTTCATTCCGCTTTACGTATAACAAAGGGGTTTATAACAGCCCTGTGAAAAAAGGGTCCCATGAGTTCTCCTTCTACGTGAGCCTATCTCTTTGACCGATGATTCGGTCTGAATAAAACACCCCAAACAGTTCAGTAGCTTTTGATTAATTAAAATCTATATATGTACACACACATATATAGCCAAACTGAGTTATACAAATCCATCAAGCAAATCCATTTATCTAATTTTGTTTCTTCGGATCGTCCAGGACATAAAGTTTACTTGGTTTAATCTTCTCACGTTAGCCGGTTCGTTCAATGAAACTTGTATATACGTCGGAGATGAAAGGACATCGGGACCTTTCTTTAGAATTTTCGGAAAAACACAATACCCCAATCCAGATGTTTACGACAACGACGTTTAAACGATAAACGAAGAAATATTTATGCGGGTACTTAAGGTTTATAACGATGGGTTTGGGCTCGAGGTGACATAATGAGCCACCGAACGTACCCACGGTCCACGGGATGACGAGTACCATCGTAATACACGATTCGGATAACTGTCTCGATAACTCAATCAGCAATTCGCCCAACGACTAACTAACTAACTAACTCGTAATTCAAATGAAACTGACCTTATGTAGTCCTTTTTCCACTCCTTGGGTCATTCTCTGTTTTTGAGGAGAGCTGCACAACTATTTTTTTACTTCCGTTATTACACGTCCCTCCCGTGACCGTAGGTACGTTCGGTGACTCATTACGTCACTTCGAGCTCAAACCCATCGTCATAAACCTTAAGTACCTGCATAGCTATTTCTTCGTTTATCGTTTAAACGTCGTTGTCGTAAACATCTGAATTGGAGTATTTGGTTTTTCCGAACATTCTAAAGAAAGGTCCCGATGTCCTTCATCTCCGACGTATATATCTAACAACGCGCAAAGGGATCGCCGTGTACATGTTTTTACATACATAACTCTTTCGTCTTGTAAAATTTGTTAATAAAGATTTTCTACTCCATCGAGATTACTCGCCCACGTAGCAACGCTAGCAATAAGAGCTAAATCGTATTCCATTGAGATAAACGGTATGAAAAAAAGCGAAGTATGAGAAAAAGAGAATGAATCGAATATGCGAACTGATTTTGGGGTTATCATCACCTTACGATGTGGATTCGATAGAGCGCTGGTTGTCTTCTTTTTCAGGTGTTCCGTGTTCCCGAGACAGCGACCGTGCTGCTCAGGTATGCAATTACACGATAACAAATTTATAGTCGCAGAGAAAGGGAACGAACGTAACCGAAGAACGAAAGTTTTCGATACGAATCCGAGGCCGATTCGATCTGCTTGGGAAACCATCCGGTCTCTCCTCGTTTCCCTCGATCTCTTAGGATAAAAGAACTCGCGAAATTGCGTTCTTTTAACGTCCTTGGATATTGATGGAAATGGATAGGGTTTCCATGCGCAAGGAATCGCTTTAATTCGTAAGCCCAAGCTTTCGTTGAGAACTTACTTCGTTACCTTCCACTGCCCAGTCATAGAATTATTGATTAATTAAGACGTTCCACATAACCGTACTAATAAACGTAATAATCGCGACAGCGTAAGAAAGATTCACGATCCTGTTCGTCACGAAAGAATATACAATAGGTGTTTAACGTGCTTCTAGATCCTTTGTCAACGATCGGAACGACAGTCGATGGAAGTTGCTATAAACTCCGATCGTGACAAACGATGATTCATCAACGGTAAAATCAATCGATTCGAAAGAACGCTACGTATACATTATAGAAACAGTTCAACGAATATACGCGTCGCGCACTATTCTATTCTGGCCGAGACATTGGCATGCCGGTACACGACTCTTTAGAAAAACAACACTCGTGACAGAGTAACATCGACTGTACTATGTATCTAATAGGGAGGAAAAATTCTGGCCGATGAACGAACAGAATTCTCCAAAATTCTCTCCACTTCTCTAACTTTAATTTAACAACTGTTTCATTTCTCGTCTGCTTTTTCCATTTCAGCGGCGGCATAAAGTTTTCAGACCTGAACGCCGAAGAGGGTAAGTTCACTTCAACTTTTCCTTTTCTAACGACCTCTAGCTTTAGTCTCGTTTTGAACACGCGTATCCGCGTATTCCGAGCTACCGTATTTTAGATTCGCGTTTTATCTACTATGCATTTATCTATGACCTCTTGTTGGTATCCGCAACTTCGCAAGACTCGGTCTGAGTTTACGGTGCTGATAAAAAAGTACTTGCAACAAGGCGTTTACGAGGCTTCCACGAGAAAGGAAACATTACCCGGCTACAAAATTTATACTTGGCCGCTTTTATTACATCTGCGCGTTCTGGTCTTCGCGAAACAACATAGAAGCCCGGTATATCCGTGAATCGCCTTACGAAACTTTAACCGTATCTAGAATGAATCAAACTCAAAAGCAGAATAACGAATCGCGGAGATCCTAATATTTTCCCCGATTTATTTCTTCGCTCAAACATTGTACAGCTTGTACGGGAAAGTCTAAAACATCGACTAACGAACTGTCTTATTTGTAAAACGTCTTGGAGTTAATAAATCTGAATTTACGACGAAGATGGAAGTTCGTGGCGGATTTTGAACGCGGTTATCTTGCGATTATGGTAGAGCGGATACGCGGAGAGACACAATGTCATGGCGGTATCGATCGCTGGTCTGCACGAGTACCTCTCATGCCCTCTCGTTTTACCCCTTGCTGCCGCTTAAGTATTGATATCATTGCGTATGCGTCGACTGTCATCGACGAAACTTTCCATTAGGTCCGAAGAAGCCATCCATGTTCAATGACAATCTCAAATTACCTGGCTCGTCGGTGCTGGCCTTAAGTCGCGTGCTACGTAAATCCCGTCAAATCTATCCGTTTAAAACACAACCGCGTTTTTACCGCGCAAAATGTGACAGAGATGGAAATGGCGCGAAACGATAAGAGCGCTGGTACGATTTACGGGGAAAGAACGAACTTTTGAAAAACGTCGAAACGAAATCAATATTACGAAGTCTCTTGGTGTTTATCAACGATATTTGTTCAAATACAGGACCGGAAACAGATAAAAGCGCGTGTATTTTTTTACGACGTATATAAAAAGAAGCTGATAATTCTGATCTTTTGCAAAATATATTTGTGATTATTATTACGAAGCCTATGGTTACTCATCGGATCGTGTTTGTCAAAATACGTGACCGGTTACGAGAAAATCAGATCGGATTACCTCGAACGCTGTTTTTTCGCAGTATCGTTCGTTAAGAAGACGGACGATTCGATAACAAAGCGTATTTGCAATCGAACAAACGTTCGTAGCAGTCGATGATCGTCAAAGATCGAAATTGCAATTTTTTACCAACGTGAGGCTGTTTCACGTCGAATTACGCAACGTTACGTCAGTCTACGTCACTCGGTGTTCCATCATCGAGTTTCTGTCAAATACTTCGCCGAAACGTCGAAGCGAGTGAAACGACGTAGAAAATGATTTAGTTTTAGAGCCGTGAGGGGAAACCTTTAAAAAAGCAAAGGATTTCGCGTGCATTAAAAACAGAACAATTCATACAGTTGGTTGCGGATGGGCCAAAGAAGAATGGTCAATGTATAACGTTCGCTGATTGCGTAAAATCAAAATCGGCGACTTGCCAAGATTCTCGCAAAGTGGCAAACGCGATCGAGTCACGAGATGCAGACCGTGTTTTTCACGATACGATCCTTGTGTTCTGAACTCGCTCGTTATTCAATGGGTAACTAAGTAGAGAGAAATAACAAGAATAAAAGAAAAAGAAAACAAAAATAATTGATTTCCGCCGAGATACCTTCAAAGACGACGAGAAAATAGTCGAGATCTTTCGGGATTTATGTACAATACATATGTGTGTAGTTAGAATCGAAAATATTTGTCGTTGACCTGACGAGGAAGTTTATCAACATAAAACAGTGTATCATTAAGAAGTATATCGTTAATTATCTAATTATTGATTTATATTATAAACATCGTTATCTCGACTGCTTGACAAAATATAAGTACATATTTAAAAGAGTTTTCTATGGAGCGGCCATGAATACAAAGTCTTCTTTGAAACGTGGGCTTTCTATAATTATTTCAATGACAAAGCATCCCTGTTCCATTCTGGATAGTGAACTTTTCTTCGATAGGTCAGTTAGATGCCTCCTTGTGCGAGCCTACTTGTTATGCGATTAATCGTTCATACCTAATTACAAAAAAGCATTTATATGTTTCTGATAAATGGTTGATAGCTGGATTACGATAGGACGTTTTCTTGCAAGCAGAACTGCTAAGTCGCTTTTCGTTACGTAATACACACGATTATATTATCGCGATGGTTTTGTAGGCTACAATTATCCTAAAGAATTACCACAAAAAGATTTTTTAAAGCTTTTTGCGTGGAATTGTACCAGACAGCTGTATACACCCGAGTATCGCGATAGTGGAGCACATTTGCCTTAAAATAACGCAAAAGATACCACGGTAATATTTCTTTCACCTTTCTCGCTTTACCTTTGTTCCAACCATTTTATTCGTCCGCAACTCGTCATCTTGCAGCGCAATCCACAGCTATGCGTTTCTCATCTTCCACGTAAATCCCACGTAAATTAAGCTATAATTATCAATTATTAATTCAAAATGCTCGTTCACGTATCGATTAAAGCGACCAACTGATCCAACCAGGTATCACATCGATCTATACATATTTTCCATTCTATTTGCACACCCTACGAGATTAACCATGAGATAATAATATACCACCCGAAAAGAATTACGTAACGGAAAATTGGGATCAGAGTTTTGTCAAAGGCAACGTGCCTAGCCTGAAATTCGTGATTTCTCGTTACTGCTATTTATTTAACACGTCTTCCTATGTATTTTCTTGTAAAACGTACCAGTCGTTACGTATCATCCGCTATTTCTTGCCAGATTCGTTGCTTCATCCTATATGAAATTGAAATACCAGTTCCATCGTCTTCGAAGCTTCCAACAGGTTTTTCGATGCGAAAGAGTCGCCGGATGGTAACTATGTACCTGGCGATCCAACGACCAACGCCAAGTTCTCGATGCAAACACCACTTAGAAATTTGCATTCCAAATTGCTCCAATTCTCCCCGTGCATCGTGTTTCGTTCTCACATGTAAAGTTACTTCACCAATTAATATGAAACGTGCGTGTTTTTGTAACAAAGACAACATTGTCCTTTAGGTCTCGTGCTATTAACACTAACACTAAACACTAAACACTAAACACCAAACACTAAACACTAAACACTAAACACTAAACACCAAACACCAAACACTAAACACTAAACACTAAGTACCAAGCACCAAGCACTAAAGTACTAAAGTACCAAGTACTAAAGTACTAAAGCTCTAAGTACTGAAGTACTAAGTACCAAGTACTAAAGCACTTTAAAATTTTTGTTTCATGTGAAGCATGTGTTTGCTTCAGCCCGGCTTACGTGCTTTTATGTAATTGTATTTGTCGGGTTTGATCCGTGGCATTGAAACACCGATACAAATCGGGCTTCATACGACTATATCCTCCTTTTGGCTTCTTCTTTAAATAGATTCATCGAATTGTACTTATAATGCTTGTCGATTTTCGTTGCCATCGTCAAGCACGATTTCTTCTTACGCTTATATCGCATTTACGCTATCGAGCAAAGAATGATAATTGATGTATTTTTTTGTTTATCCGTACGTGAAATATAACAAAGGGAAATGGTGTAAATGAGCGTGGTAGGCCGTAATTGAAGTCATTACAGTTTATCATTATTCGCTGGTATCGATACGCGTGATAGAACCAACGTTCATTGGTTAATGTAGGTCGATTGTGACGAAGTGCGTTCCATATATTCTCCGATGTATCAGACACTTCGTAAGAAGTTCGTTATACCGAGCACCGGTTATTAATAAATTCATATTCGACGCTGTCCACTCGATTGTCAGTTCCCCTCTATCGTAGTTAGGGTACGCGCACCGTTCTCTGGCTTAACGCCAATTTGCTTTTACATATTATGAGTTCGCGTCTGGCCAATCGCCTCGGCTTCTTTCTTCCCCTTTTTTTCACCCCTTTTCCAAAACAGTCCTCCTTGTATCGTACGTTATTGCAGCAAACAGGAGGGCACAAAACATATTTGTCAAAGACGATGACTGACAAGATATGTTAAAGATGATGGGAATAAAGAATTCGTTACGAGCTTTGTCTCTTCTATGATCCGTTAAGGATCGAGCAGTAGTTTATCGCAATGTTATAAGCGTTACAATTTCTTTAAATTTCACGAAACTGTAGGATGGAGGAAATCTTTGGAATTTTCTTTCACGGTTACGACGTTAAAAAGTGGAATTTTAAACCGATAAAAGTGGAATAGTAAACCGATTGGAAGCAAGCCACAAATGAAACGTTGCGTTAACGCAACATCGACCGATTAGTAGGTTTAACGTATTCCGCGAAAAGTCAAAGACTCGAATGAAAACGAGAGTCGGAAAAAAGGTCAAGAAAAGGACCTCCAAAGACATCGCTTCCCGTTAGCTTTTGAAACGTCAAACCTCTCGCGGATCAAAGTTGGTGTGGAAATGAAATTATGTTTCAAAGAGGCGCGTCGAATGTTGTTGCGAACTCGTCGGCTCGTCAAGATGATTAAACGAGCGTAGCGGAAAAGCGATGAAACGAGCCACAGTTTCAAACGATTTAAGTATACGCTCGAAACGCAACGTTTTTTCATGCACGATGTTCACAAAAAATAATTTAGTCGTCAAAGAACCGCACCGTTCGTTGATCGATCAACTTCTTCCGTGTCTGTTCTTACACAAAATTTCATCTTTCGTTTTCCTACGAAGTTTCGTACGCGAGATAGGATATGGTTGATAAGACACGAACGCGTTAACGCTTTCCGGTTCCGACCAGAAACACTTAAGCCTTAAACAGTTCGCGGTAATGAAGTGTAATTGGGTATGCAAATGAAACGACAAAAATGTAGCTTATGAAATATCGATACGCTATCGCGTCGTACAAGTTCATATACGCAAACAACGCAAAACATTTTTTTCGTCTTTTTGCTGTGAATTTAGCGGAGCGGCAGTAATTGTTTCAATGTCGAGCTGCACCCAAGAATTAATAACAACCGGTTACAATTAACAAGTCTTCTGGTTATGACAAGATATCTCAAGCTGGAGCAAGCCGAATGAATTTGCGCGATCGGTAAAAGAGTGTTGACGCATCGTGAAATAGTTAATGTATATTCAGTTATGTAGATTTTTCTATTTGCGTCGTACTTGAGAAAATTACATTAAAAAATTCTTTTAACTGACGGCTAAATCCCTTCTCTTTATTTAAGAAAAAAGAAAAAAAAAAAAGAAAGAACATTCTATCCGACGCGATTATTAAACACAGATGATGCAGATGTTGCTCGATTTTCGATCGTGCAATTCCTTTGATAGAAACCTTCGCGAATGATTACTGCGTTGTTGAGAATGCGTTGAATTTCGCGCAGCTTGTTAAAAATGTAATTGGAATGTCTTCCTTCTTTCGTCGTTGGAAAGCTAAAGTCGAAAGCGCCTGGTACCGCTCGTATCCTTCGTTCTTTTTTCGCCAACGCATGGAAACATTATCCACTGGCGTGCGATACATTTCCAGTGGTTTTTTATCGAGCCCACGTGTCTGTCGACGCAGCAATTGCCTTTCGTCGTATTTGTCGACGCGCAGAACCGAGTAAATCTCGCTCCTCGATTTCAACCCTCGACCAGCTATTTTATCCTTCGAAAGCTTAACCGTGATTTATTACACAGAATCGTGCTTGCGAGAAATTGGCTCTTTCGCTCAAAGTTCAAGCACGTGACGACCAACTCGAACCGGGCTATATAGCGTAGAAGATCGAACGTTGACGAATTATACGTTTGTAACGAAAGTTTCGCAAATACAAAAGCAACTGGTAACGTCGCTCGTGTATTTAGAGAAATTTTCTTAAAAGAAACTAATTGCAAGGGGAATCGCAACGCTCGGTATCGCGTGGAGACGAGTTTGCGTGTAAAATGTCGAGCAATTTCATTGCGGAGAGACAGGTGGAAGATCGCGGATAACGCGTAGCTATGGATCGTCCTGGCACGATTTAATTAAACCGTGCATGAGAAAAAGGAAAAGCGGCTAGAAGGTGGGGGAGGGGGAGAATACACGACAACAGAGGCTTATCGAACTGGAAGTGTCTTCAAGGTCGGTTGGTTCTAGCAAAGGGATCCGGGTCGCGTCCTTCGATTACGAAGTCCTCGCAGCGACATTACAGGAACAGGTCGGACAAAGGCGAAGCAAGGTGGCCGGAGATCTTGGAAGTTGACTCTGGTGAGGGTGAGTTTTAGAAAGTGCCCCCGTTTTTAAAAGCGACACAGACGAAAAAAAAGTATGCCTATCTTTTATTTTCACCACGAACGTAAGGAAAAAGCTGGCAAATACAGAGATTACACGCCGAACGATCCAAAAGACGTTCGTTTGACATTCGTTTCTCGATATTTCTCCGTTGTCGGTAACCCACTTTTCTCGTTTTATCGAATTCTGTTGCTCGTGTTCGTGTAATGTCTGTAATTCTATGCACCGTATGTAGTTACAGGAACAACGCGATCATTGGTACCCGATAATTGTATTTACTTCTCGGAAGCGGTAATCTCTGTACGCTGTTTAACGTTGTCGAAAGTAAAAGAGGCTCGCCGTCCGGTCGCCTTGCTAGAGCGATTCGTGTCGATCCCTGCTGCTAGAAATCCGCCTGTACGACCGATCGAGTCGTGTCATTGTGCCACTCTTGGTAAATTAGGTATGAGCATTCTCATCGCATACACCGTCCAGCATTTCCTTCCGAACTTTTACTTTCGTTCGTTCTGTATACTTGGATCATATTCGTGTACGTGTACAGAAACCTTGCTCGAGCGTTTTTAATCGATGTACTTATACATCGAGAGAAGAATTTAAGAATGTACGTTCCTCCGTGATAAAAGATCAACCTCGTACGCGCTTGTCGGCTCTCCTTGCTAATTCTATTAACTTTCGGGAGCGTAATAGCCCGTTGCTAATAAACGTATGCAGGCGTTCGATGCTATTAATTGCACGCACGATATCCACGATATTCGTCGTCGTTCATCCGTTAAATCATAAAGACGTCCCACGGACCATTAGTCGCGATTGTTTTATGCTCGTGGAACCGCGCGCCTCGAGACGAAGACGCGTTCACGACGCTGATACTGGGAAACGCTGAATCTGGTTACGGCTTGATAATCGAAAACGCCAATCGTTTCGAACGATTATCGAACACCGTCAAAGCCTGCGGACGATCATTCCGTTAATTGGAGTTTTTCTCGCCGTTTCGATAACGACAACCTATCGTGACAAGAACTCACACACGCATACACGCAGTAATAGCAGCCGGTTGGCCCGTCTAAAACGATGCGTCGCATCTCTGGCAGATGCGTGCAAGCAACGAGTGTCTGAACGGCCAACGACTAAATGCGAAACTTGTTTGTCTGTGGTGGATTTCGTTGCAAAAGAATACGTGCACCGTACCAGATATCAGCTGGGCCAACTTGACTTTGGGTCAAGATGCGAGAAACCTAGAAATATACATGTAGATAAAACACTGTGAGACGCGTACGTAAACAGATCTGGAGTATCGTCTGCACGAAAAGAAAGAAAAAAAGAAAAGGAAAGGAAAGAGATGCTCGAAAGATGTTGTTAAGAGAGCCAACTTCGACCCTCGTATTTCCTATTTCGACGATTGCAAAACTTTTCGAGCTACTATTAATTGCACTTGATTCATCGGCTCTCGCGATAACGCGATTTTAGTTATTTGAAAGGATCGTGTATCGAAGCTCTTGGCAGTTGACCTCGATTAGATAAGGCTGTGATTTGTTCTTGGATACGATCGATCCTAATCGCTTTAGTTAGTAGCGCGTTGATTATTACGCGAACTATTAAGATAATTTTCACGTAAAATATAGCATCAACCTCGTGCTTGATATTTACCTTTTTTTTTTCTCTCTCTCTCTTGTTTTTTTCTTCGAACGACGTCGTAACGAGAGGATTTGAAATACCTGTAGAAGTTAACGAGCACGCTACTTCGAAGAAATTTAAATTAATCACCGTGTTACGCTCGTAGTAGCGTATCGTTACGCATATGATCATTCGTTGAGAAAAATACACGATCATTATCGCTTATCAATGCAATTGTGCAAATGTGCTAATAAATTGCTACGTTCGATTAATTCGTGGCTTGCGATTACGTAAACAGTTGCAAAGACGGAAAAAGTAATTGTTGCGTAGTTACCGATCAGCCAGGTAGCGTGTAAAAGTTGACTCGTAGAAACAAGAAACTATAACGATAGTTGCTTTACTTGTTTCCCATTGACCGATCTAAAATTCTACGTGATTTATGTTATTCTGTTTCAGCGTTCAAATTTCAAGAGAATCTTCTGCGCACGATGATACAGATAGAGAATACGTTCTTCCAGCTGGGTGACAGCTGTTCGCGAAATTGTCTTATTATCTGTGATCGTGGTGCCATGGATGCCTCTGCATGTGAGCGATATTAATAACTATGCTGCCTATCTTTTCCTCTGGTCCTTTACGAATCAAAGTTAAACCAGATCTTTCTCTTCTTTAATTCAGTTATATCGAAAGATAAATGGGAATTGATGATGGCTTCGAACGGATGGAACAACGTGGAGCTGCGAGACAATAGGTACAATCAGATCATCCATATGGTCTCGGCAGCAAACGGCGCCGAAGAATTCTACTCGACGGAAGATCACGCGTGTCGTTCGGAAGGCGTCGTGGTAGCCAGAGAACTCGATTATAAAGCGGCGGCCGCCTGGGTTGGGCATCCTTACTTCGATGTGATAGACAATTCGCAGGACTTTGAAACGAAACTCTGTCGTATGATCGAATGCGTGTGCCAGAAGCTGGGTATCGATACCGGAGACAGATTGAGAGCAAGTAGCAGAAAAGTCAAGTTCCTTGTCAAAGGTCCTTTACCGGCGGACTCTGGGTTCCCGCCGTTCCAGGACTTTGATGTCGTCCATAACTACCTCCAAAGTAACAATCCGAAGATGCAGGCTCGTCTGCGTAAACGCGGGCAAAAAGGTTCGCGAGACAGTTACTACAGTTTGAGATTTACAATGCTAACACGTCTGTATCGATAACGCGTAATCACGTATAAATTTACGTTGATAGGTCACTGGTCTTACATTCATACAATTCGACGTCCAAAAATGTGCGGCCAAGTGATCGAAGTAAAAACACAATTGACTCATCGAGATTATTTGAATATGCTCGCTCAACGCGATGACTCGCATTTCACCATCTTCAAGCGTCGACGATGTTTCCTCATCAACAATCAGTATTTCCAATTAGATATATACAGAGAACCCGCTCATCCAAGGTGAGAGTTAAGAAATCACGCGCAATCGTGTAACGAAATAATTTATTATATATATAGATAAATGTGTCTAATATGATTACAGGTGTCGGGGATTGATGCTGCTTGAAACGTACACAGCATTGTCCGGAGACGAGCTTAAGAACATATTACCACAGTTCCTGACAATCGAAAAAGAGGTCACTGGAAACCCGGATTACAGTATGTTCAATCTCAGTCTAAGAGAAGAATGGAACAATACGAATAAATTCTGCCATAATTTACAAGGTACGTATCGAATATCGTTTGCCATTAAATTATACAGACATCCGTAACTAATAAATTACGCGTATTTCTTTAATGAAAAAGATATATCGAGAAAGTCGTTTGATACACTCTTTTTCGCGTAGATCTGTCTTTGATTGTCTTTCTTGTTTGATCAGTTTCTTTTAAATTGCACAGATTACGCTCTTGCAGGCTTAACGGAATCTGGATCAACAGAAACAAAAAGTACTTGCTCTTCGGAAGCGAAAGATACATCGGTTAAAAAAACAGTAAATGGACTTGATTGTTGTAGAGTCAATGGCGTGGACGTTGTTATAAATAGTGTAGATAAAGTTGTAAATGGCGTACAGAATGGTGTCTACGGTGTTACGAATGGTATCGTGAAATTTGCCGAACAAAATAGTATAAAAAGCAATAGTCAAGAATGCGGTAGTCCTACGAAACACTAAATGACGATCCTTAAAAAGAAAAAGTACGAAGAGGTGTAATGAGAGCAGGTTTCGAAACGATGTGAAAACACGACGGTATAAATACATTAGGCAATGATAAGGGACAAATTACACAATTCTAAAAAGAAACAAAATATTTTATTGGCACTGACAGCTGCTATCTCGATCTAAAATTTCCTAGGCAATACGAAAATGATAAACTTACAAATTATAATACCTATTTTTTAATTAATCTTGCGTGCACACTTTGAAGGTACCAATGCGAAATGTACTTAATAATTCGACTGTAACTTATTTTTTACCAATTTGTTTAACAAGTGATGTCGATTAATATACCAAGCATTTTTACATCTAAATCACTCCATTTCACTTTTCATCTCCTTGCTTCGTTGTGTGTTTTATCTAGAGTACCGTAGTAACTCTTTATTTAAGAATATTACTATGAATAATTGTGATACAAAACACATGTAATACATAGCGTGCAAAACACGTATGGAGCTATGTAATTATTCAAGAACAAACGATCTGTATGAAGTATACTTTCCTTTAGAAATATTTAACATTATCTCGATAGAAAAGTAACACTCTGCACTAATGTGAACAACTTTAAATTTATGGATAGTACTGTAGACGGAAAACTTTGGTCCCTGCTATAGACATAAATTTTACAAATAAATTAATCATTAGTGGTGTCTTGTAAAATACTGACATAAATCTAATATTTGACTTGTCTTTAGATGAATAATATCGTTGAGTAACTATGAAAAGTATGATTAATTAATTTATTGGAAATGTTGTTGGGTTAAATAAAAATATCGATTTCTATATTGTAGTCCCTTATGAAGAACGTTCATTTTATTATTTAATTTATCAACAAACATTGTTTTCTCATTGAACATAACTTAATGAACATAAAATATGTTATAAGATATATATATATATAATATATGTATATATATATATATATATTTTACATAAAAACATTTGTCACAAACTTTACTATTATTTAGAGACAAAGTGCCTGTGAGATGTTCAGTCACAGAAGTGAAAAAAATGATATATAAATATATATTTTCAATGAAAGATGCAATAATCAGTTATCGATGCACTTATGCCATATATAATTGGTCTGAATTCATATATTGTACCCATGATTGTCTAATAAAATGTCATGTGCCTATCATTTTTTACCCATTTTGATATACCCCTTCTCTTTTTCATTCTTTCAAATTATTCGTATAAGCCAAGTAATTTATTATCATTTTATTTTGCAGATTGAAACTTATACCGATTTTCATATGGTACAGCTAGGAGAAGGATAAAAACTAGTAATATCTTGGTCATTGTAATTTATTGCTCTTTCGAAAAATTTCCTTTCATAAACTTATTGCTATATCAAATAAAGAAGGAAAGTCGTAAACCTGTGTTTGTGTTACATTCTCCGACATATAGGCATTTTCGGACTTCACATTCATTTTCTGGTTTAATAAATTAATTTTTTTCGTATTTAATATATTGCTGAAGTCTAATGAAATACGAATTATGTATATAGGAAGTAAACAGTATACACACACAGTGTGTTATAATACACAGTAAAAAAATTAGTAAAAATACTGACACAGATAAATCATGTGAAAAGGGAGCTACGTGACGTTACATTAATGAAACCAAATATTTAACGTTTCATTGTTCCATGTAGAATTATAAAGCCTTATTTTACATCTTATAACATTATATAAAAAGTAATGCATAATGGAAGCGTAATTATAGTTTTTTTCTTTTTTTGGTATACCATTATTATAATATTGTGTTATTAGTATCTAAGGTAGATACTAGATTAAATAGTTTATCAAGAAAAAGTATTAACAATATTGTACACAACTCGCGTAATCCTTTCTTTACATACATCGCTTTCATATAGATAATTTTTGCTCTGTACATTAAACAGGATCTAAAAAATTTTTAGTAAAGCTGCAGTGATATTTTGTATCTATCTAATCCCGATCTAGGTAGAATAACTATTTATAGTTACTTGTAAATATTTCAGAATTCTGATACAGGAAAACTTTCAAATAGCTGCCTCTTTCTAATGAAAGAGAGACATATAGGTAATTAAATTACATAACAAAATGTAAGTAGTAAGAAGACATGTTTCATCATTTTTTCATGGGCAAGTTAAGAATACCAAGTATAAATAGAAATATATTTATAAAACTATTCGCATGCAAGACAATGAATTATGATCCACTTATACAGGTCCCTGGAAGTATTAATTATACAATTAAACTCTATATTCTTTATATACATAACAAACACTTCTTTTTATAAATATTAAGTAGTATTTAAATCATCCTGAAACTTTCAATTCATTTAGAAATAGGCATTATCTGCATGTGTCGTATCTTTTTTGTAAAATTTTACTGGAAGCATATATTTGTTTTATTTTTTTTCCTTTGTTCATATGTAAAGAAATTATTAATCTTTTATACTGTTTTTCGCTTATAAACCATTTCATGTTTTTTGATTATCATTTTTTATACAATTTATAATCAATTTCGCTTGTATAAATTCATTTGAGTTATAAAGCATATGAATCATAAGTTACTCCCATTTCAGAGCATCTAATTAAATGTTAACATCGTTCGTATGCTTGACACAGTTACATTTATCTACTAATAGCTTTAGCTTGTTGTGCTTTGTACATTTTTAAGACTTTTTTGCTTGGTACTAAAGATTGACTTAATCCTGGCCTTTTCTTGCGTCTATTCGTTTGATTATTTTCTTGATCTATCTCATCGTCGTCATTGATGGGAACTTGGCCGTTATACTGAGTCTGACAAATAACTGTTTCCTGTGGTGTTCTAATTGCTTCTAACTCAGCTGCTGTACGATGTAAATCTGAATCGTGTGCAAAGGTACAATTATGACCAAATCGGCATCTACCTTTCCTATAGTTCCAACAAATCTTTCTGCCATTTATCATTTTTGTATCATCGAGAGTCGGCGTCATTTTCACGTGTTTCTCAAGAATTGCACTCTTTGCTTTTTCTGCTTCAACAAATGGATTTGAGAAGACCGAAGTTTTCATCGTGGGTATACCATTAAAGTCTGGAGTTGGTAATGGAAGTTTCTCTTTGGAAGCTGTTTTACATATTTCATTATTTTCATTATGTTCTTCTTCTTCGTCATCCTCTTCTTCCTCTTCCTTAAAACTAAGGGTTAGGCAATATCAGATTACAAAGAACAAATTCAATCTGATGTGTAACTACTAACTGTGATTTAATATGCTTATATTAATATAAATATAAAAATAACATTAATCTATAAAAAATGCAGAATATCGTTATGCATTTAGTTTATTAATATCGAAACGCGACATTAAAAAATTATTAATGCAAAAGAAAAGAAAAAAAAATACCACATTAATATTGTAGAACATAAAATTTAAGAAGTGAACATACTTTCTCTAATTTTCATTTCGCCAATTCAGACGAAAATATATAAAGTCATATATTTCACGAAAAATAAACATACATTTACACAAAATACAGTGTTAAGAATGTAATGACATAATAATATGTAATTTGTTTTAGGAGTCAAAATTTATGAGATTATGAAGGGTTATACGAAGGAAGGGAGAAAACAAACAATAGGGAAACAGGTTCATGAGGGTAAAAGCTTACGTGTTATCGGCACCGTCTGAAATATCATCGCCACTACTTTCTGAACTCGAGGATGTTCCATAATCCGCAACTAAGGAAGCCATGGTTCTTAGCAATTAATTAACAATATTCTCTAACAAACACTAATCTAATATAACCATTATAAACAGTTGTGCTTCTGTCCACATTCACAAAATATGGCAACGCTGGAAATCTAACGTCACCGGAAGTTATTGACGACGTTCTTGTAGTTTTGAAATTAGCGGTAAACGTAAAGTTTACTACGCAAGTCTATTCTATATTTTATATTCTGTCAGATTAGTTTTACCGCATTAATCGATATTAAAATTCTAATGGTTAAATGCCAAAATAGAATTAATTTATTTTATTTATAGATATTTTTAATATATTACGAATAACACGAGTTCCATACTTATTGATAATTTAGCAAACAGTTTATGTAGCATACAAAATATATGTATATATATTTATTTATATTATTTACAAGATCCTTGTAAATCAAAGTAATAATAAACTTATATTTAATTATAGATGTACATGATGTATTTATGGACATGAAATACCAGAATCATTTATAGTTAACGTGCATGTAAGGTTTGCTTCCAATTGGCAACTGTTCCAAATTGAAATTTTTCTCTTTCTAAGTTCAATTTTTTCCAATAACAGTCTTGTATTAGGAATATGTAACCAATATTTTCCTAAAGTAGGAGTTACACTATAATTTTCATTTGAACTTGTGCTAGGTCCTTCTTCACTGACAACATCCCACTGAGTAATCAAATTAACAATAATAATTGACAAACGAAATTCTTTTGCAATATAGTGACACATATTTGCTAGCTGATTTAAAGCAACTGTTATTTTTTTATCTTTACAAAATTTAAAAATTATCCCTGGTAAAGAATCAATGATTATAATCCTAGTACGACACTCTCCACCTTCTTCTTTCAAACTAACTGTTAACAAGCATAAAACTTTAAACAACTGATGTATACTGTATACACAGCATACTTTGATACGTTCCATAGTTTCATCTATAACCTAAAATTGAAATAAAAATGTGTTTTACTGGCATTTTAAATCATAATTATATTTTTATATTTATATATACCTGCTTACTAAAATCCTGTTTTAATAAAATTTGTTCTATTCTTGAACCACAAAAATCCCTTTTTGTATCAATGTACCGTACAATATTATTAGTCTTCAATGCAATGTTAGTTGCAATTGCAAAGCATAATTGTGTTTTGCCACTTGAAGATACGCCACATATTTCATAGATTTGACCATAATACAAACCACCCTTTAATAGATTGTCTAAACTAATCAATCAAATTCAATATCAATTTCTCAATTAATGCCATTTGTATTTAACATACTTATATACCTTGATAAATTAGTAGGAATTATATCATTCTGTTCCATTTCAAATAAATCAAGTGCATTTCTAATCATACCTCCAAACCTTTTTAAAATATTTTGCTTAATTTCAATTATGTCCTGTAAATTTAACCTTAAAATTAACATTTTATAAAAATTATTATTTATTAGTAAATTTAATTCAGAAATATTTATTACGATTATTTTTTTATAAATAATCTTATATATATACCTTGAACGATAATCCTGTAAAATGTGCCAATCTTTCAGGATCTTCATCTACAAATTGTATAATAGTACAAATGTGTTGACGTTCTAATTGTTCTATCACAGAGCTTGATAATTTTGAATTTATGGCCGCACTTAGTTTTGTCATATTTAAGATAATCAGTACTTTAGTCGTTATTATCGCTATTCGCTAGTTCTATACATCATACTTTAGACTTCCTACTTTTGTATTATAATCTTTTTTTGTAATTTTCCTTTTAAATTAATTGAAACTGAAACTTACAAACTTCCGGAAAGTTAGGATTATTATTTATATTGTAACCCTACTTTTCAATTTGCATGATATATATGATTAATCATAATCGAATTTGAAAATATTCGTATAAAAATCTATAATTGTTCTAAAATAATTTAATAAATTTGCTATCTTTCGTTATTAATTTTAGGTAAAAATTTTAAATCATTATCTCCCGTACTACGTAGATCAATGTAAATGTAACAGAGGTAATCAAAAGATGATGCGCCGAGTACCGAAATGACCTCAGCGTCATTCTTACGATTGTACGTACCGTATCGCACGTGGGCATCTCGTTGAGCATACTAGAGTCGAGTAGAGTCAGAAAAACGTGTCACAAACTTGAAGTATACAAAATTTCATTTATTATTCGATTACGATTCACAAAGAATCTATCGTAGATATAATTATGGTTTTCTGTGAGAAGACTTATCGAGGCTGTGTCATTGCATTTGAAAATGTGTTTAGCATACGTTGTATCACGAGAAGTTGCGCATGTGTTCAGCATATAGATATATATTTTTTCGATTTCGGGTAGAAAATGTGGACATTCACGGATACAGAAAATCACAGAAGGAATTAACGAAAAAGTAAGTACAATTTTCTTCTTTTTTAACTGTACTTCCTCTTACATGTGTTATTAATAGTAGTTACATTATAATGGTTATAAGTAGCACGTGGTATATTTAAGTGTATATAATGCGGCGCTTAGTATGAAACTTGATTAAAATTTATTATTCTAATAAATACACCGTGTTAATAATACTTCAGAAATTGTGTATATTTAAAATAGAAAACATTACCATTGAATAAATATATTATCAATTAAAAATATGAAATTCATAAATATTTTTACAAGTGTTTTAATAATATGTATGGCATTTCCCCTTATAAATAACTATAATGATCAAAGCAAGAAACAATAAGAAAAAATATAATACTTAATTATCAAAATACTATGTACAGATAATGCACGAATCACGTGGTGCGTAGCTGTAAGTAGAAGAGAAAATGTTTTAAAAGATTTGTAGTTTCATGATATTATTCAACAATTTGTTTGCATTATAAATTAAAGCGAAACATTTGGATAACAGCTTTCTATACGATGCCAGGAATGTAAAGTGATGTAATACTACATGTAATGTATGCCTATATTTGTCGGTTACTATACAATGGTATAAAATTATTACCGAAGGATAATAATAATAATTTACTGTTACAAGATCTTTTAATTTCTATATTTTTAACATCATAAGAGCGCCCGTTTTGTGATCATTTTTAAGAAATTCGATTATTTTACAGATAATCAGATAAAACTGTTTTACCAAATACGATAAAGCTTTTATATATCTCCAATCCTTATCAACAAGTAATAACATGTAGTATCTTTTTATTAATAGGTTTCATGCATATTGTAATCCATATAGTGATAGATTGTAAAGAATGCATGTTTTACACTTAGAAATAATAGTTGCTGATTTGATTTGTTAGTCGGAAAACGAGCCCTTTTAATATTTTTACTAGTAACCAATCGGGAACGTCTGATACTGCCACGTTGCCAAGTATCCGGTTGTATTCGGCCAATCGTAGATTCAGCGCCCAGTTGGAGCGGCATCTCTCCGTGGCTTGTGTAAACGTGAAGTAGCGAGCAGCTCAAGATCTGGTCGCGGTCGAAATTTGTCGGGAGCCGTCGCCATGTTTAGAAGTGTGTGCGTCCTTGAGCGAGTCGAGCGAAAATGTTCTGTAAAATATTAGATATAGCTCATGCACTGTACATTACGTGAAGTACCTAATTACAATTTAATGCTTGTCGATCACGGGTGTAACAATTATTTTTGTGGATGGCTCACCTACGTTGCAGAATTTTGTGATTACAGTATGGTAAGTCCGCCCTCCTATCAGACCAACGCCAACATGGCGGACGAAAAATTTCCTTTGTATCGCCGCGAGGCTCCACTGACGCAATTGTGAAAAATGTATTATTTGGAAAGCGATACACTTTAAAAGACCAGAAAAGCTGTTTCCACTCTTAAAAAGCTTAACTGATAGACCGGTGTGATGATTGTCGTTATTACATTAAGATAAATTGACATTTTTCTAATAAAAAGACTTGAACGCCCTGAATGCTTGATATATTGGACGTTTGCGTATTCGTTGCAATCTTTTGATATTCTAAATGACATCGTTCATTTCACTATTCGGTTGATTGTAGATACGTTCTTATTACTCATGATGCCGTATTTTTGAGGGTGTTTTTTCTTCTGCGCAATACGCATGTTTTACAAATTCCAATGTGGTGTATCAGTTGGATCAACGGAGAAATTTTGATTTCGGCGCTTTTTTCACAAATCAATTAACGTTCTCATTTTGAACTATTGAGATTACTTTACTTAGAATAAGCTTGAAATGTACATATTTGATCTACAATTAAATAATAAATTACTTATATACATTTTAAATAATTGAAAAATAAACTGCTAGTAATTTGTGAAGCTTTAGTTTGTTGTTTCTTATACATCTTTTTCTCTTATTATCAATTTCATATATTTATTTTTTTATTGCAAAATAGATATGTAATTGTTACAGAAATGTTCAATTTATTACAAAGAAGCACAATTTCAATTTATTTTCATATCTTTTCAATTTTTAATTTGCTCATGTTTGTTTTCTTTTCCCTATTTGTTTGTTTTTTACTAATTTGTTCTGAATACAAACATATAGGTTTAAAAAAAAAGCTTGCTTGATAAATGTAAGGTACAAAGATTAAAATATTTAATGCTTGATACATTATTACTAAGATACTTATGAGAATAACAAACACATTTAGTAAAGTTACTTTTATTATAAAGTATAAAAAATATTTGTTTTATATATTTTTTTTAATATAATTAGAAATTATTTAAATTTGTATTGTTGGTTTGATAGATAAAGGTATAGATAGAATTATACAAAAATCTGGATTTTGAGTAAGAATATACCAATTTAACATTTATTGGTAACAATATATGTTTATATTTATCTATTGAAGTATGTTTTTCAGTTTCAATGTAATGTGCTTGTATACATTTATATTTCTTTAAATATTATCAATATTTTATTCTTATGTATCATCTTTTTTTTTGCTACAAATGATAAATGGTTTTATTCCTTCATTTTTCGATTGCAAATGATAAAGTTATTAATAACATTTCTTATTACTTTATATTATAGTGTAATGTGTAATGAGTGATAAGCAGACTGCACCTATTTTACCACCCCTCAATGGGGGTGGAGGAAATAATGGGGGTAGCAATGGAAGTGCACCACAACAGACTGTTAATTTACAACAAGTTCTTGCTACTGCCCAAGGACTTAATGTCCTTACTACAGGCGCTGGACAGCAATTTGTTATTACTTCACAGGTCCCTGGCCTTACACAGGTGCATATTTTTTAGTGTATTCTAATTTTTGTAACTTTTTTTATACATAATTTTTTATGAAATTTTATATATAATAAATGCTGTATAATAAAAATTTAATGATTTTTTGTTTTTTATATGATTGCAGGTTATACCAAGTAATGCAACAACAAATACAAACATTCAACAAGTTGGAGTTACAAGAATTGTTAATATCAGTGGTACACCACCACGTGCAGGTAGCATGGGAGTTGCAGGTGCAAGCAGTTCACCTCTTACATCTCCTACTCGTCAGGGTTCACCTAAAGTTGTTTTAGCAACATCTCCAAAACTTGTTCGAACTTCTATTGGAAATATGTTTGTTGCACCAACCTCGCAAGCTTCTATGCATTCACCACCTGCAAGAAAAAAATTGAAATTAACAGATTCTACTGAAAAACATACTATGCTTGCTGATGATGCAATGGGTTATAGAAGAAGAATTATGGAACATAAAATGAAAAGGATGCGTGCAATAAGAGAGAGATATGCAGAAAATGCATCAGAATTATTCTTTCTTCATGCTGGAGGCAATATGATGGATTTTCAATCATGGAAGAAGAAACCTCCAACACCCCAATATTTGCATTTTTTACAGCAAAATAGATTAGATCCAGATGATGATGAAGATTTAACAGCTCCACTGCCAGCAATATCAGAAATTCCATTAACACCAACTGCAACAACTGTTTCTACAATAGTTCCTGTGAATCAGTGTACAGAAGTAAAAATTTCTGGAATGAATGTTGCTCCAGTTGCGGTGTCCACGACATTGCCTGCTGCAGTAGCTCAACTTAATCAACAAGGTAATCATATTGTCATTGTGAATATAGTTGTAACTGATTTGATAATTTAAATTATATTATAGCAATCTTACTTCCTAATAAGATGTTTTACATTTAACACTAATCATTTTCACTAGAATATTAAAAGGCACACCATTATTTTCAAAAAAGTATAAATATTATAGAGTAAAAGATAATTTCAATTCATGTGTAATGTATTAACCTTGCACAAAAACTATAAACATATTTTAGAATATGTTCTGTATTTAGGTACTTATACTAGTTTCTCATTATTAATAAGTAGTTTTTTGAGAATGTGGAAAAGCAATTAGGAGTTTTAGTATATATTTTACAACAACCAAATATGTAATTACTTTGCATAATAGGACATGTACCAGGTAGGCCTCAAGGGGGCCGCCATGGCATGGTGTTTGCCTTCAGAGCAGCAATTCAGTCTTCACCAGTCACCGCTCACCCTCCACCTACTTCTTCTACTCTAGCACCCACGCTCATTATAGGTGATTACTGCAGGCTTATCGTTTGATGTTTAGACTCCTTACTTTTTTAAAAAATAATCTTTATTGAATTCTGTAAACTTATTTTCAATATATCTAAAAAAAATTTCACTTAATTGAGAAAATATCACTAGATATTACTTTGCATTATTAGTGAAACAGTTTATTATAGGTTTCATTAAATAAACATGATATGGTGAGTGAAACATGATATGGCTACTTTTTGTATTCAAATAATATTGTATATTCCTTAAAGTATTAAGAGCAACGATTTTCATTAAAAAAAAATGCAATAGGCCATTTTCTTTCATATTAGACGTAATTTTTTTTATTTTATCTTTTAATCCAATCATATTAAATTCATAGTTCATTTTCATTTAGTGATTTATACCTTTGAAAAAAACTTACAGCTGTGTTTATGTTAATCATTTATGTATTATGATAGTATATTCTTTTTGATATTGTAGAGTATTCCACAGTAGACGGCTGATTCAAGTTACACATTTTGGATCAGTTCACTCTTTGTGGAAATATTAATTCACAGCATAAGTAAGGTTGTTTAGCAATATGCTTTTCAGCCTAAGGGCGCTGTTGATACATGTATACATACTCTTAATTTTCTCTAAATAGATTTCTTCATGTATTAAATTATTTTATTACTATTACAGGTAATGCACCAATAGTTCCAGGTTCACCAAAACCTGTGACAACAACTGTTACAAGTCCAGTGATAGATAAATCTACAATAGCTACATCTATTACAACAACTATTACTACAATGACTACTCCTACCCTTACTTTTACTGGAGCTACCACCACTACAGCTACTGTTACTACTGTTACAAAAACATCTTCTGCGCCTACTATACCTACTCAGCCCATTGTTAAACTTGTTAAGTTACCTGCCTCTAATGCGGCTACGTCATGTGATATCACAAATAACCAAGAACAAATTGTAGAGAAGGCAAAACAGGTAAAGTAATTTCTATGCAATTATGCAACACTTAATGAATTATTGTGATAACTACAAATTGGTATAATTTGATACATAAAATGTTTGTAGGAAGCATACGTTATGCAAAGGATTGCGGAATTACAGCGGGAAGGATTATGGTCAGAAAGAAGGTTGCCTAAAGTACAAGAACCACCTCGTACAAAGGCTCACTGGGACTATCTGTTAGAAGAGATGGTTTGGTTAGCTGCTGACTTTGCTCAAGAACGAAAGTGGAAAAAAGCTGCAGCGAAAAAGTGTGCGCGTATGGTACAGAAATATTTCCAAGAGAAAGCAATTCAAGCACAAAAAGCTGAAAAATCACAAGAGCTTAGGTTAAAGAAAATTGCTAGTTTTATTGCTAAAGAAATCAAAACCTTCTGGACAAATGTGGAAAAAGTAAGTAATAAGAAAAGGAGTTAGAATTGTAAACTATAATAATAAAGATTTTACCCCACACTATTAAGCCGACAATTTCAATGTATTTCAATTGAAACTGTGTGCTCGTTGTGGGAACAGCAAAGTCTGCTCATCGTGTATGGTTGTATTTATTATTACGGTATAATCAAAGGATTGATGCTGGACATATATTTTTATATAACACTTAAACTATTTATAAGACTGAATGTATATTTCATGTTTATATTTTGTTTTCAAGTTAGTGGAATATAAACAACAGACAAGGCTTGAAGAGAAAAGAAAGCAGGCACTAGATCAACACTTAAATTTTATTGTGGGTCAAACAGAGAAATATTCTACATGGTTAACTGAAGGACTTAATAAAACTGATGGTCCTCAAAGTGTGCCAGCCTCCATGAATAGTTCGCGTATTTCTTCCCCAGTACCACCTGGCAAATCTCATTCTGATGGTATGTAAAATACATTTTCCTAAGCTCATTGTATTTCAGTTATGTTAATAGTTTTAATCTTCTTAATATAGAGGATTTTCAACCAAACCAAAGCTCAGATGATGATGAAGAAACCATAGCAAAGGCCGAAGAAGAATTGAAATCTGTGACAAACCATAAAGAAGAAGTTGAATTGCTGAAAAAAGAATCAGAGCTACCCCTAGAAGATCTCCTTAAAGAGCTACCACCTGATTACTTGGAAAATAGAAATAAAAGTTTATCACCTGCATCAAAAGGAGTAGAGGAAGTATGTAAAATATTTTTAGACCAAGGGTTTTAATGACACTATTTCTTACTGTAAGACAAAATTTGTTATATGTATTTATTAATAGGAGAGTGAAAAGACAACAGATGGCGATATGGATTTTGTTGCCGCATCGGATGAATCCTCCGATGAGGAAGAGACTATTATGGAACAAGAAAAACTGGAAGAAAATGCGGATTATAAACAAGAATTAGACGATCTTAAAGTATGTATATACTCTTCTAGCTATTATGGAGGAGTTATGGATTTTCTCTATAAAAGTTTAATACTTTTAGGCTGAAAATGAAATGTCTATTGATGAACTTATGGCCAAATATGGTAACATGTCGGATGTGCCAATAGATGTTGAACAAGAACCTATTCAAGGTCAATATTATTTAAGTTAATTTTCGCCATATTATATTTGTTCATTGATGATGATATTTTACCGATCCTGATGGTATAAGAAATGGTTTTCATTCTTTATTCCTGTTACTGATGTGACTTGAGGCATTTGTCTGAAAATTAACATTTGTTACAATAATCCAATAAACATGAAAATTTATAATACGTATATACATGTATTTATTTGTAGAGTCAGATAAAGAAAGCATAAAAGAAGAAGCTCAGGAAAATGACGAAGAATCTACGAGTAACGAAAGTGAAAGTGAAGAGAGTGACAACGAAGTTGATGAGGAAGAGTCTCAAACACAAACTGATAATGAAGCCGATATTGGTCTTAAATCTCTTTTAGAAGATGTATCCATGGAAAAATCATCAAATGATAAGGTAAGATGGTGTTTTCATTAGTACTCATATAGGAATTTTGTATACAAAAAAATAATTGCACTGGTCAATCTGCCTTTTACAGACTGCAGAGATGGACCATTCAAATGCTCGCGATGAAATGGATAACGTCGCGGCATTGGCAGAAAGTATCCAACCTAAAGGAAATACTTTACTTACCACCAGTGTATGTGTCATTGAAATATTTTTGTATTTCCATTATGGGTATATCAATTATTCAGCCTTTCATCCAAGGTTGTGTAACAATATTTTGCACATGACCATTTACGAAGGCTAAAGCATAAGTGATTTTCTTTTAACAAGTAAATTGATTCATCGATTTATTTTAGAGAATTATCATGACAAATTTTACCAGTTATACGAATTAAAATAAAGTTATGTATGATTGTCTAACGAAACTGATATAATTTTAGGTTGTTACGAAAATTCCATTTCTTCTGAAACATCCCCTTCGAGAATATCAACATATAGGTTTAGACTGGCTTGTTACAATGTACGACAGGAAATTAAATGGTATTTTAGCAGATGAAATGGGTTTAGGTAAAACCATACAAACGATTGCTTTACTTGCGCATTTGGCATGCGAAAAAGGAAATTGGGGTCCTCATCTCGTAATAGTACCAACATCTGTGATGCTTAACTGGGAAATGGAATGTAAGAAATGGTGTCCAGGATTTAAGATTTTGACTTATTACGGAACGCAAAAAGAAAGGAAACAAAAAAGAACAGGTATTAGTTTATCTCTGAAGAAATATAAGTGAAAATAGCAATATTTGTAATATTTTATTTATTTTTAGGTTGGACTAAACCTAACGCTTTTCATATTTGCATAACATCATATAAACTGGTTATACAGGATCATCAAAGCTTTAGAAGGAAAAAGTGGAAATATCTTATATTGGACGAAGCTCAAAATATAAAAAATTTCAAATCACAGAGATGGCAATTACTATTGAATTTTCAAACCCAACGGTAAATATCTATTTGGATAATATAATTTATAAATATATTACTTTAAATTATATGAAGAACTTATATATAAAAATCCTTATTATTACAGACGATTATTGCTTACTGGTACACCTCTACAGAATAACTTAATGGAATTATGGTCATTGATGCATTTTTTAATGCCGAATGTATTCCAGTCACATAGAGAATTTAAAGAATGGTTTAGTAATCCTGTTACTGGAATGATAGAAGGAAATAGTGAATACAATGAAAATATTATTCGTCGTCTGCATAAGGTCTGTACGTAATTTATTTTTATATACTTTGTTTCACATATACAATTATTCGCTACCGACACGGATATATGATGATTACGTATCGCATGTCTGTTTTATATAAATAGCGAGATATTAAAAAAATTCTCTATTAAAACTCGCGTGTCGTAAAGTATTGATTTGACATACGAATCCTGTCTAGAGAAACACTTACAACTTTCATTGTATCAATCTTTTCCTCTAAATTTGTGTATCTCTGTTATATGTTATTTATATAGCAATTATATTGTTTGTAGGTTTTGCGGCCTTTTTTATTACGAAGATTAAAAACAGAAGTAGAAAAACAATTGCCCAAAAAGTATGAGCACGTCGTTATGTGCCGTTTGTCAAAACGTCAGCGATACCTATACGATGATTTTATGTCCAGAGCAAAGTAAGTATTACATATTTTGTCACTTTTTTTTATATCACAAAGATTTATGTAATATGAATATATATATATATATATATTTATAATTGTTTTTCATGAAGAACAAAGGAGACCCTCGCCAGTGGCAATCTGTTAAGTGTGATTAATGTATTAATGCAATTACGGAAGGTATGCAACCACCCAAATTTATTTGAAGTTAGACCTACTGTATCACCATTTCAAATGGAAGCTATTGAATATGTCACAGCTTCGTTAGTATGGAGTGCTCTTGATTATGATCCATTTAAGGTAAAATATATAATTTAATTTTTTCTAATACTAATTATGCTCTTAGAAGTTTAGAGGAAAGTATAATATATTTATTTTTTACTTTCTAGCATATCGATCTATCTAGTATTAATCTTTTATTATGTGATTTGGAGTTAAGTCTTACTGCGTTTGTGGCGCATAGAGTCAGACGATTGCAAACACCTCGCAAGCTTGTGGAAGAAATAGACACACAACCAGATCCGTCTCCAAGATGTCCACCTGGAAAGATTAAAATTAATGTTAGATTATCTAATCAAGTTAAACCGTCATCCGTACCGCGGCAGACGCAAACAAAATTAAAGAATTTGACTGGAATATTGCCTACTCCAAAAGTTGGAACATCTCCTTTAATAAAAACAGCAAATAATCAAAGCACTCCAGGGCAAGGTAAGAATGATTATAAGATTTATAGACATTTCATATTTTGGATTTTTCCAATTTTTGCAATTAATTTTCTCTGTTTTTATAAATTCATAGGTGTCACACTAAAAGTAGCAGGTGGCCAACAGTTGCAAGGATATTCTGTACAATTAGTTCAACATCAGGGTAGTGTAAAAGGTGAGGGTTTTCTCTCGTGTGTTTTTACACCTTTACTACGTATATTTATATCCAAAACCTGAAATCCTTGTGCATCATCGATCAGTGGTTGCACTCAAACTTATCGCTGTGTAATCATTCTTGCAATGGTGCTAGAGCAATTGATCTCGGGCCAGCTTGTTTATAGTTTCCCATGTTATAAGCATTCTAGAACCGAGAGCACATTAACAAAACTTACATCTAATTACAATCTAACATTTGTGAATCACAGTTTGTGTAAAACATTTGTTGTGTTTGCTTCGAAAATAGCAATTCCTGTTGGAACACTAGCACATAACCCACAAAGTACAACAGTGACACCAACTACAGCAGCAACGAGTGCACAGAGGATTACAGTAGGGAATGCAAATATTATAGATGGACTGCAACGGCTAGCAACACAAACAGTTGCAGTTAAACAAGGTGATTCCGTCCAAAGAATAGCAATGCCTAATCTTGCACAAGTGGTTCAAACATCTATTGGTAGACATATCATTCTGACTTCAAATCAACAAAACACTAACACAGGTTTGTCCTAAGAGTGCTCATATCCCACTGATTTCATTTATGTTCTGTGTTCAAAAAATGTGCACCATATACATGTCCTTTTTCATGTCATTTGTATGCATTTAGATGAATGTTAAAGAATAATACAAAAATGCATGATTACAATATTCCGTATGTTAACCCTTTGCGGACGGGACGGTTCGAAGTCTGCCGTACCGTTGGGCCGAGCTGCTGCCGCGATAGTCATTTAAAATTGCCAACGCACATTTCTGCTTTAGACGCGCTTTTCGTTCATAGGTGTCAAATTCTAACATATGTACATGCACAGATTCTCCACAGGATAAATAAAATGACACATACATAGTCGTTCGGCTCTATCAGTTGTTTTCGCCAAACGGATATATGACTTCCTCGGTCAAATTGATGGCTTACGCAGAACGCATATATTCGGCGGTAGTCCGCGAAGGATTAATAGGCAATATTTCTATCCTAGTAAATTGATATATTTTTCAGATTTTATTTAAATTTGTATACGAATGATTAACATTGTTTATATTTACAGTTTCATTTCCAGTAATGACTCCATGTGTACCACGTTTGAAAGTTTTACCAAAATCTTTAATGGGCCTATCTACCTCGGCAACTACAGTAAACAAAGTTATAGGAGGAGTGGTGACAACTACAAGCGGAACAAGTGGAAGACCCGTTATGAGGGTGCCGCCTCTTAATGTTACTGCCTCTCCTAATGTCACTGCACAGTCTCCCGCTGGCAATGGACAATCTCAACAACAATCGAATCGCTGTGGTATTGTTACTAGACACGCACAAAAAGAATCAGAAAAGGCACAAATCAAAGAACGTCCAAAATCCGAATTTTATTTGGTAATTATCTTAATCGAATAAGGTTGTAAATATTCGAAGGATTTAAAGGTTTAGAAAATTTAAAATATAATATCTCTTTATAGCCACAATTAGAAGAAGAACGGAAACAAAGAAGACAAGCTAAACTTCGTCTACTTGCAAATACTAATGAAAGGCGATGTGCCGCATGTCCTCTATATGGAGAAGATTTGTTTATGGCATTAAGAATTGGTAAACCATCTACGGCATGTCGGTGGCATAATGGTTGGGTTCACTGTGCAACTGCTAAAGATAATGTACGTACACGAAGGCAGTTTTTTTCTCGCACAGAAGCACTTGCGGAGGCGATCAAAAGTACAGAACAAATTGTTGAGGAGCTGAAGGAAGTTTTTGAGAGGTATTGTATATTGATAAAAAAAGAGAGTTCAGTGTTTAGTAATTTATTGAAGTTATTTAATTATTCTTGACGCAATATAATATATGCTAGGTTTGTTGTACATGTTCCTGCTGTGTGCGCCCCTACGCCACGTTTTCACGTTTCTCATCCTCCTCCACATAAATTGTTCGCTCAACGACGTATACAAATGGAATTACAACGTCAACTATCGCCAAAATTGGCATTGTTCCATCCAGTAGCTAGTGCAATGATGACGCAGTTCCCAGATCCCAGATTGATACAGTATGACTGTGGAAAATTGCAATCTTTACATCAACTTCTTAGAAAGCTTAAATCTGAGAACCATAGAGTTTTAATTTTTACACAAATGACCAGAATGTTAGATGTATTAGAAGCTTTTCTTAATTTTCATGGACACATATATTTACGTTTGGATGGTACTACTAAAGTAGATCAGCGGCAGGTAATAATTATTTACTGTAAATTACTATGTCATTATTTCTTTTATTGTTCTCTAACATGGTTTATTTTACGGGGAACTGTAGGTTTTGATGGAAAGATTTAATGGAGACAAACGAATATTTTGTTTCATTTTATCGACGAGATCTGGAGGTGTAGGTGTGAATCTTACAGGAGCAGACACTGTTATATTTTATGATAGTGATTGGAATCCTACGATGGATGCCCAAGCACAAGACCGGTGTCATAGAATAGGTCAAACACGTGATGTACATATCTACAGGTATATATTAAAAAAATATATACATATATTTTATATATATATATATATATATATGTCGGAGATGAAAGGAAAGCCGAAGCCTTCCCTTGGAAATTTTGGGAACATCCTCTAGTACATTAGCCTAGATTTTATTATAGCTGTAATTGTTTAAAATTTGTGATAGCGAGATTAGGTTCGAGGTGACAATTGGTCGCTGAACGTAGTCACGGTCACGAGATAAGCGTTTTGCCTAACGGAGGTCTGGAGTGGTTGTATGGGTTTTCCGAAAAGTGTGATTGTGGTGGCAGGCGGCCTCTTGAGCGGGCCTAGCCACGTGTGAGGTTACCTCGGAGGTGCCGAGACGATGGGACATACATTGTATCAATAACCAAACTCCAGGCAGAAACTGCCTAGCAACGGCGTTCGGAACTTCTCGATGCTTCTAACGAGTGCGTATCGAATTGCAGACGAGGCTTGCATTCGTGCGATTGCCTTGGAGAGTGACACATCGAACATTTCTCGTCAATCGTATTTTGCGCCTAAGATTATTTTTTTTTTACGCTTAGTAAAGAGTTATCTCGTTGGCCGTGGATTAGTTTGAATTCAACAAAAACATTGTTAATAGTGTACATAAATTCATTATTCGTAAATCATATTATTCATTAACTTCATTGTTCATCAAATTTATCATTCATTAGACTTAATTATTTGTTAAGCTTAGTGATAGTCTTGTATATACGTGTACATATAATCTTGGCTTTGTGAAATGATGGCTAGTTCATGCGAAGAGTTGTCACCCAACTTTCGCCCAAAATTTCGATTTTAACCCGACATATATAATAATAATATATATATACGTATATTGTATTTATGAATATATTTAATTATTCTTCACATGTTTTAGGTTAGTAAGTGAAAAAACCGTAGAAGAAAATATTCTGAAAAAAGCTAATCAGAAGAGACTACTTGGAGATTTAGCTATCGAGGGTGGTAATTTCACAACTGCTTATTTCAAAAGTGTAAGTATTTTGAAAAATTTTAATGAAGAAATATGCTCTAAAACATAATATTTTATGATTGTAATTATCTTTACAGTCTACGATTCAAGATCTGTTTAACATCGATCAATCGGAGAATGATGCAACGACTCGAATGGCCGAAGTATTGGAACAAAATAGAGATCGAGAGAAGTTCTTGCAAAAGGATAACCAAGGTCAAACTTTAGAGGATAAAGTAGCGATGGGTGCGCTTGAAAGCGCTCTTGCTGCTGCTGAAGAGGATCTTGATGTTCAAGCCGCAAAGACCGCTAAAGCAGAGGCTGTTGCTGATTTAGCAGAATTTGATGAAAATATACCCTTGGATGACGCGGACAGAGATGACATGCAAGTTAGCAAAGCTGAGCTTGAAGTACAAAATTTAGTATCTCAGGTAAAATAACGTTTTTATCCATTTTTATAATATTTTATTCAAATCTTAGCATGTATATCGATAAAAATGTTTGTGTTTTTGTACATAGTTAACACCTATAGAACGTTACGCGATGAAGTTTGTCGAGGAATCAGAGGGTGCGTTTTCTGCGGCACAACTTGCAGCAGCCGAACGTGAACTCGAAGAACAGAAGAAAGAATGGGAGTTGGATCGGCTACGAGCATTGCGCGAGGAGGAAGAAAGGAGAATGCGATTAGCAGATGACGATGAGAAGCCTTTGACGTTTGGACGCGAGGATGCGCAAAATCAGGTTAATAGTGCTAGTAATTCTAAGAAATTAGTCAATAAGAAACTCCCACCGAATAGGAGGAGGAATTCGCGTAAGAATATTAGTAAAAGTGCTCAAGAATCGGAAAGTGAAACTGAGACTACTACAGAATCAGAATCAGAGTCACAAGAAGATGTGGTAGAAGATAGCCTTGACGAAGAGTCGAGTCATACGGAAAGTCAAAGTCAAGGCGACGAGGATGAGGAGGAGGAAGAGGCACACGATCAAAATGATTCTGAAAAGGGCGGATATCCCAAACGTAAGAACCGTTCTAATAAATCATTTAGTCAAAATCATTTCGATCTGAACAGTCCACGGACGAGATCAAGGGGAAATGTTAAAATTAATTTATGGACATTGGACGTAAGTCCTATCTTGCCTGGTATAAAACCGAAATGCCGAGGTAGAGCCAGCAATTTGCGTAAACAACGTGAGCTTGAAATGAGGATGAAAGCAGAAGAAAATTTCATTTTACCTTTGCCACCAGTTTCAAGTCCGAAAAAGTTAAATAATACCAACATTTCGAATAAACCCAATGAAGGAGATCATACTGTGAATGAGAAAGAAGTGGTAACAGCTGATTTAAAACATACAGATGCTGAAAAAAGTACAATTCTGCCTACTGATGAAAAGCGATCTGAAAGCATCGAAAATTGTAAAGTGATTGTAAATCATTGCACCATTGCAACTTCGCCAAAATCGAACTGCGATAAAACTGTCATAGACGAATCTAACGCCACTATAGCTTTAGATTCGTTAGAAATAGAAACATGTTCTCAATCAGGTAATTCATCGGGCATGTCAGAACAGAGTAAAGATTTAGAAGAAGGTATAATTGATAACAAAGACGGTGGTGAAGCAGCACAACAGTTAACAGAGAATACCACATCTTCAATATATATTACAAAGTTAATGTCCACAGCAATGGCGCAATCTAGTAATTTAGAAGGTACTGCAAGTTGTAATGACGATTCCGAATATTCTAACGTTGATTTGATCTCACAGAATAGTAGTCCTCGTTCAGTTGTAATGGAATCGAACATGGTAAAAAGAATTTCTGATTCGAAATGCTTGAAAAGTTCAATGACTTTGGAGATAGATGAAGAAATTAATATATCGGAAGATTCATTGATTGCTCCCTTAAAAAATAAAATAGTCGTTCAAGATACAGATGAGAATGCTGAATCTACAATAAAGAAATTAGTAAGTGATATTGTTTCTAAGAGTAAGATAACTTCATCTGCCATTGATGAATCAGATACGGGATTAAAAGGAGAACTACTTATCTCTAACGCAGAATCGAAGGTATTAAAAAATAAATCTCTAGACGAGCTCCAAGATATAAATATTTCTAATGACGAGTATAGTGTAAAAAATGATACAAGAGCGCAGAGTCCTATCGAAACGAAAGAAGACATGGATATGAAAGAAACTTCAACAAATAATAAACAATACGATGAAAGTACTTCAAATTCAGATACAACAAATAAGTCTGTCAATGATAATGAATCCATTTCTGTGATAGAATCAAGCTCTAGTCAAGAACCTAGTAGCAGCAAACAAGAAGAAAACTATACTAAATTAGATGAATGTGTGCGCGACGAAGATGATACAAAAGTTCAGTCGATCTCATCGACACAAAACAGTGACAATACTTTTTCTTTTGATACCTTAGGCTCGAATGAATCAAGTGGATCTGAATTTAATGCAGAAAATAAGATTAAATTTCGTAAACCAGATACGATATCTTACGGAGTGACTACAAGAAGCGCGAAAGTAAACATTAGCGTAGAAACTACTGAAAATAAAAATTTGATATTATGTACTGATACATGTGAAAGTCAAGGAAGCGAAATTTCAAATTCAAATTCGAATTCGAATACTCATCGAAAAGAAACTAGCAAAGTAACACAGATTCGAAGGCCCGACACACCTCGACCGACGATAGAACATTCTAGGATTACAAGGTCAAGTGCAATTCGTTCTTTAACACCTCCACCGAATTCAAATTCCACAAAATCATTGCAAAAAAAACGACCAGACACTCCTTTGCCTGAATGCTTTAGATCTTCCCCACGATTAGCGACGAGGTCTATGTCAAATTTGAGTTCATCACTAAGAAACGAAGAACAAAATACATCGTCATATGAGAAACCCATGACGCGTAGGTCAAAGACTTTGGATAATGGTGTTTTGAATCCAACTGTGTTTCGAAGAAGCAGTTCAATACCACCTATGAAACCAACATCCGATTCGAAAGATTGTACTAGTTCTATTTCAACTAGATGTAAAAGAAATAGTGAATCTACAAGTACGAATACAAGTACACCGAGACGACGTCCGGATACACCTGTTCCTACTTCTGAACAAGGATCGAGAGTTACTCGATCTGGATTGAATTTTACGCTAAATTCAGCAAAGGGTCCTAATCATGTGTCGAACAAAGGGAATAAGCACATTCGGAAGATAGATTCGTCTTCTGATTCAAAATCACAGGAAGAGGAGTCTTCTTCTGCCGTTTCACCATTGTCTGGAAAAACAGAAACGTTGAACACAGATTCAAATGGTAACGCGGTTGTATCAGAAACCTTCCCCAAACAAGATGATTCAACCCTATCCTCCTTTAATGAAATTAACGAGAAACCACAAAGAACTGCTAAAGTCGTTGCTATTCTTACTTTGGATACACGAAGTAATCATACCAGTAAAGCTTCTAGTTCCGTTCATGCAAAAACATCTAATTGCAATTCCTCTGATACGAAAAATAATAAAAAAAACGCCGATTCTAATTCAAATTCTGCATCTGATTCGTCAGGGAAAAATTGCGTTCTTAGGATTTCAGATGTTACTCCGAATTGTAAAGTAGATGGGTGGTGTGATTCTGGATTGGATACTGGTTCTCGAGATCGCGTTTCCTCTAATGTATTTTCCAATGTAGCAAGTACTTATACCAGTTCCAATAAGGCAGGAAAATCACCGACATTGAACAAAAATACATCATTGAATTCTAAACTTAAAACTGATAAGGTTCCGATACAATCAACAGTGATAGCATTGGTCGATTTGGACAACGACTCTAATTACGATTCATCAGATGGATCAAAGAAATTAAGAAGGAAAATTAAACGAGCACGACTGTCGTCGTTTGCAAAGCCATTGATAAGTGGAAAAACGAATGAATCACAAATAGCTGACGCTCCAGATGAAGAAGAGCAGATACCGCCAATGAAAAAGTCGATTCGTACTCAGCTTACTCCTCCTCCTCCTTCTTCGCAAACAACTCAATTGGAAAAATTCAGTAGCGGTACTATATCTTGAGTCCCGCTAAAACTTTATCGCTGTAACATTTAGCAGCGTGTTTGTATAAATATTTCTCATAATTTAGACATTAACATTGTCTTGAACTACTACCTGGAGCGGCGTGCGCATAAAAGAAACCAAGTTCTAATTGTTTCTTAATTTTCACATGATTCTTGTATATAATCACAAAAGTAAAGATAAGTGAGAGATGTTTCTTTTATTGTACTAAGTACATACGTGTAACATTTTTAGCATTGTAAATTGTACTTTCCTGTAAAGAATTCAAGTGTCTTTAATTGACATTGTAATTTATACTTGGTGATAAAAACGAACGAAAGAAAATGATAAAAGAAATAAGGCAAGGCATTCGATTGTATTATAATAGGATATATAGAGGAGAAAAAGATTCATTACAGCTTAGCTCATTAGTACGTTGCGAAAGTCTCGCCTTTGCGACGATTTTGTAGCGTTTGATTTCTTAAATAAAAAGAAATAAACAATCGAGTCAAAAGTAAAAAGCAGAAATAATTCTGTGAATGCGACGTACTTTGTTCTCATTAACGCCTTGCACTCTACATACTTTGCAAGGTCGCGACCTGATTACATATTAGACTTAAGAGATTCTTCGTTTAATGGTATGCCCCACTGTAATATTTAAGTTGCGTGCCTGTATTTTGTATGATCGAGTGAGTCCGAGGAAGGAAATAAACAAAATATTCCTTGCTATGAAGATCATGTGTTTTCTTATTTCTTGGTGCGGATCCAAGTCTGTTCGATCAAAGGTTCAGTTCCGTTTTGGTGTCAAATTTTGCTCAGTGTGCTTGGTTATATATACCGAGATCATTGAAAGTAATGATCTTGTATTCTCGCGATGTTTTGGTGTGGCAAGGCTATCATGACCGCACATTAAAGAAAAGAATTTTTTTTGCAAATATTAGATAATAGCATGCAGTAGAAAGCTCCAAATAATTATTTGAAAAATGGCACCAAAACACTGCCTTTGCCATTCCAAACTTGGAGTCAGCCAAGGTATAAGCAGGCACATTAATGAGCGTCTTGTACAATATTTAATATCTACGCGGGATTGAAGTAATGAATTTCTTGAGTAGAAAAATGAGCCTTTGAACGAGCAAAATGTATGTATATTTCCTATTCATTTCCTTGATCTTCCAAAATTACTCAGTTATTCAAGCATTCTAGCATTTTTTCGATTGCATTTAATAGAAGACATATGAAGACATATATAAAAACGAAGAAGAAATCATTTTTTCTTCAAATTATTCGTCATGTTTAAAAAGTGAGTGCTTCGTACACGACGCTCGTTCTTCGTAATCTTTTTTTTAAATCTTGTTGAAGCAGATTTTTTATTTATAACTTTCGAATCTCATAGACGTACTTTTTAATGTCTTGCAGATATGGTTATCGGACGACAATATGGAGCAAATGCCGGTTAGTATAGAAATTTTATTTCTATTTTCATTTATTATTTTTTTTGTATTTTCAGTTTAATCTATGTAAAATTTATTTTAATGATTAGATGTGGTGTCCTCCTACACCTCCTACAACAGATAATGATGTTTACATTGACTATTCCTTGGGATTCCTTTATGAAAATACTCCTATGTCAGAGGCACAATTACCTCCAATATACATTAAAAAGGAACAAAAAAGAAGTAGGATTGAAACTGGAATTACTGATCGCGATGGTAAGTAGTTTATATATTTATAAGAAATCTATCTATGGTACTTTCTTTATGTACGTATACAGTTGATATTGTTTTTTTAATTGTATAGTAAATTGTTTATCTTCTATGTAGGACGGCGAACGGTTAAAATGCGACACAAGGAAGAATCTGTTTATGCACCGAGATCCTTATTCGATCGACCTTCACCAGCGCTTATGAAAATACGTCGCGATATGAAACTACATAAATATCGTATAGTTCGACCACCAATTCCACTGCCTGGTATAAAACCGTCGCATATGTCAAAGTCTTCCGCGGACCAAGAACATGTTTTAGATTGGATGATACATGAGGATTGGGCCCTTCTGCAAGCAATTCAGGTTTATCAAGGACTGCCGCTGAATTTGATGATTTTATCTCCTGGTCATACTCCCAATTGGGATTTGGTTGCGGATATAGTTAATAATACTTCTCGAATATATAGATCTCCTAAACAATGTAGAAGCAGATACGAATCGGTAATAGTACCAAGAGAAGAGGGAAAGTTACTTTATGATACTACGCCGAAGAAACAAAAGAAACAGAAAGGGGTTTACAAAATGCCTCAGGTTTCCGAGGTATATCGAGATATTTTTATTCTACATTTGACAAGAGATATTTGTTGGAAAATAGTTATCATTTTTTAATCATCTTCTTTTAGCAACAAAGTAAAACAAACAGGCCAATGAAAACGTCTCAGTTATATAATCAGGATAAAAATCATTCGTTTACATTAATGTGCTGTCAGAGATTTGACACCATTAAATCTGTTTCGAATAAGAGAACGCCTACTGTTAAACCATTGCTCGTTAACCCATTAATGAAAAACCCTACCAACGCTGCAGTTTTAGCTGAATGTGGTATCCAATATGATAACCCATTAGCTCCTATAGAAGTTGCAACGCGACGTGCCGATAGGATCGCAAAGGAGAAACTGAAACATGCTGTTAGTATAATAAGGCGTAATGTCTTTTAATTATCGAAATTTTTAAACATTTAATGGCATAATTCAATATTTTGTATCCAGGTTTTATCAGCAGAGCAACAGCAACAAGTAGCCGCTCGCATATTACAGCAACAGCAACAACAGCAGCAGCAGCAGCAACAACAGCAGCAACAAGTTCAGCAGCAGCAGCAGCAAATCAAACTGCAACAGCAACAACAAGCTCAACAAAATATTTCAAATACCTCAAGTCCTCAAGTGCATCAACTAACGCAAGTTGCGACCACCGTCACAACAGGGTTAACTACAATGAAACCTATTACCACAATTAGTAGTGTTACTACGGGTGGTACGACAGTTGCTACGTCGACAGTTAAAGCCCGACCAGGAGGAACGTTAAATATGCAAGATGCACGAGCAACGCCAACCGTTGTCAGTGTCGGTAATCTTCAAGCCGCTCAAAGAATTGCAACAGCGAGTTTAGTATCCGCTGCACAAAGTTCACCCGCGGCTACGCAGAAAGGTATTGGGGTTACCGTGGCGACAGCTCCAGGTACTAAAACGTTAACTGCGGCGCAATTACAATATTACCGACAACAGCAAGTTCTATTGCGACAGCAGCAACTAAAGGTATTGCAAGCACAGGCTGCTGCAAATGGTCAAAAGGTATCGGTAGCCGTTTCAGCTGCCGCTGCGCAACAAAGGGCTACGTTGATGAAGCAGAATATAACTGCTGGTACTGTTGCACAAGCAACTGTTGGAAAACAGACGGTAGCTCGTACAGTATCAGAGACAGAAATGGCTGCTTTAATAAAACGGCAGGCTTTGCAACAACAAGCAAAAGCTGTGGCTCAAGTACAGGTACCTGCACAGACTGGACTTACTCCGGCCCAAATATTTGCTCAGGCAGGTTTGCAGGTACAAGCTGGAACATCAGCTAGTGGAACTCCAGTTGCTACCTTAGTAAAAACTGCAAACGTTGCCAGTGTACGTACAGCAACACCTCAACAAATCCGTCAACTCGCTCTGCATCCACAAATCATCACTCAAAGAAAATTGCCAGCGCAGAAAGTTGCACAACTAACGCAAGTCGCTGCGAAAACTGGTGTTCAGACTCAACTGATTGTACAACAAAAATCATTGCCTGCGACTATGACCGTGCAGCAGATTCAACAAGTTATGAAACACGTTCAACCATCAGCGATGCAACAATTTACACATGTATGTTATATACCTCAGATGCCGATTTTGTTGATATCGTTCGTTTCTTTTACATTCTTTTAAAATAAAATATGACTTCAGGTTTCTACAGGACAAGCAGTTTCTCAACCTGGACAAGTAGTTTTAGCAAAGTCTCCGTTGCAGACGAGAGTAATTCCAGTCGCATCCGCTGCTTTGAAACAGACGATTCAAGTTATGACTGCAAGTAGTGCTCAATTGCGCCAAGCTGCACCTGCTCAGGGTAAACCTGTCGTTACAGCTGCAAGAGGTAGTCCTGGTCCTAGTCAAGTTAAATTGCAAACTCTTGCACATCCCATTCATCCCCAGCAGGTACAGCAACAACAACAACAGCAATCACAAACTCAACCAGATACTCAACCGAAATGAATATGTTTCATTACATACGTTCAAATTTATTAGATGTTACAAATTTTTCTACTTACGTTAGTCGAAATAAAGCTTTTATTTGTGGAATAAAAAACAAATGATGACATTCCAAAAAATATTGCAAGTAATTTTACTACAATTAATTTGATGTTATAATTGATGACGTGATCTTTTATCTTACATCTTTACGTTTATATTACTAGAAGGTTTTCTTTCTTTTGTATTTCAATTCTATCTACGAAAACTGATATTTCTACCATCGCCTTTCAAAATTTGCTAGTCGAATTTGTATATAACATCAAGAGAAAAATTTTGTGCGCTACTAAGTTTTGAGAAATTGCGGTATTATGACATTGTTTTAAATGCTCATAAAAATTCGGAAAAGGTTATGAAATTGCAAACAGCGACAGAAGTGGCAAGGCAATACAAGTACACAGCTTAATTTTTTAATTTCATTGAAATGTAAGTCCATGCGACTTGAATGTTTTGCGAAGGTATTGATGTACTAATTTATATTAAGCAATGCAATTCTGTTTAAATAATATGGTGTATATGAGTTAATCTTAATATGTCATCCCGAGAGGAACAAGTAATTTATAGAAGTCAATCATGAAATTCAAGATATCTCTACGATAATCCTGATCATATGTTAAGATGTATTTTTCTTGACTCTGTAAGAAATAAGAAGAGGCGATTCAGCTTCGAGAAATATGTTTAATTTGTTGATACACACGAATGGAAAAGAGTACTACGAAGCTACGACTGTATATGTATCTATAGTTACCTGTAGGAATTAAAAATTCATTCGATGATACGATGTTTATACTAGAATCTTTACCGAATTGTGTAAGATTGTACTAATAATATATATAAATATGTATAATTCGTGTATCATAGACGCTAAAATAAATCTATCATAAGGAATTTTGTGTATTCCAACGAAATCTTGTCAAATAATTTGTCAAGAAACCGTTATTACCATGTTATGTATTCCTTTAAATCCCGTATCTTCTGCTAGAAATATTTTCGCGTATTGTTTGAAACAACAAACATATTTCAGGTGGACAGAGTTCGTGGGCTACGCTGTATATAGAGAGTTCAGCTACAGCTGTAAAAAATTTAAGAGGTGATTCTTGAACTTAAAATAAGATAAAAAATCAAGGATAAAAAGAAAATTATTGGCATTTTTGGCTTTGTTTTTTAGTTATTGGTAATTAAAAATCAGCCGAAATACCTCGGATTATCTTAAGGATTTTTATGAGTACATACATTTAACGTTCAATCTACGATTTTTCTTACGAAATGTCCTGCAGGATATTTTACATCCGGAATGCCACAATCTTCTCTATGACTTGTACCAGGTAAGCTCTGCTGCCCATGTTCCATTGAGTATTGCTGTGCATCCCGCTGCTCTGGTTGACTTACTTCGCTCGTGTAAGGAGGTTTGCACGCGTA